CTGAAGATGAGGAGCAGGAGGACGAGCCGGACAGCAAACAGCCCGGAGACCACGTGGGGCATGGTGAAGAAGATGGTACAGACACCCGAGAACGCCTTTCTTGCCATGCTAGCAGTAATCGGCTGTACGGTAATATTATCCGGGGTAAATGGGGAAATATTTTGAACTTAGGTTCCCGACCCTTCACGGATAAGACCCCTTAAGTGGGCTGATCCCCCACCTAATTAGTAGTCAGTCCCCAATAATACCAAACACCTTTGTCATCCGGGAGGCATGTGGGTGGGGCAAAGGAGTATAATCACACAGGTGTCGCCACCCAGTTTCCCTTTCGGAAGACACAACAAAATCAAACCTCTGCTCCTTTGTGTGTAAAATTAAAGAGATGTTTCCGGCCCCCTTGGACACCAAAGGGGAGGGGACTATCACTACTTGGTCGTGGGAGAGGAGCGGAAAATGTAACTAAGACCTTGCCTATACAAAAAGAAATGGACAGCTACAATAGTTTGAAATTAAATTGCCATGGCCTAGAACAAAGGATATCCTTACATGATATTATTCTACAATGTCATAGTTTTTGATATTTTACAACAGCATGTTGTACAATTAACCCAAACAAACTTACAAACTAATTCTTTGCATGGTTGGCAGCAATTTAAAAAGGATATGGAAGGATTTAATCCCTTCCACTGTGTGGAAGGCCCCCTGGGAAGGGACCTGAGCATTCTATATCAGCTCCTCTTGCCCTTTTTGTCACGGGCAAGAGGGGCCAATTTTGGCAATTTTCTCACAATCCAATTTCCCACAGCTGTTGCCTGAGCTCTCTTGTTCATGCTGAGGTTGAAGCGGCTGGTACCATGGATCTGTCTCTCGCCCAATGGTGTGAGCTGGGCCCTCCCTCGAGAAGAAACCTGGGTTCCCCAAGATCTGTGATCTCTGTGGTCAGTGCTGGGCCTGGAGGCCACGGGGGCATAGGCTACTAAGGAGACAGAACTGAACCTCACATCACCCTGCTTGGCCCCGGAGGATGGCTGGTTAGCCAGAGACGGGTAAGATTCCTCAAGGGAGGAACAACCTAAGACAGGCACAGTCGCAGAGGGGCCATCAGGAGAGAAAGGACCTGGGGGTCAACAGATGGGGCACAGACCCTCATCCTCCCCCTCTGCCCAACCGTGCAGGTGCGGGCCTGAAACCACCACCCCTTCTGAGGGAGGTCTCCTGCCCCATGGCTGCTTTGCTTCCCAGGCCCAGCTCAGATTGGGACCCAGGTAACAAGACTTGGCCCAGCTCAGATCGGGACACCGGCAATAGACAGAGACTTGGCCAACGGCAGCTACCCTATATCTAAATCTAGCATAGTACCAGGAATGCTCAGGGCCTTCTCAAGGATAGATAATCCTTTCTACTGATATTTACAGGGTAAACTAAGATTGTTGTTAAGAGTATTAAATTTGACAATAAAATAGTAGTCAAGTTTTCAGATTAATTTAAATTGGCTAATTGAAATAAGTGAATATTCAATAAAAGTTAATTGTACTGGACAAAAAGCTGTTCCTAAAGTATTAACTAAAATTTCTATTGGAAGTTTATCTCATGGTAAAATTGCTTAACATGCAATGAACCTAAAGCAGTCTTATTTAAAGTCATCAAGACTGCTTTATAAAAGTTTTCCAAAAGCCTCCTAATTAAAATAAAAAGGGGGGTGGGGATAGTGGAGTAATATTATGTAAGGAAAAATGTCCTGAAAGTAAATTACATCTAGAAATTGTTTACTTTGAAAACTAATTTTCATTTGTAATGCCAATAGCAAGACAACCATTAAAAACATACATTGTGCCGAAACCAGTTTGGCTCAGCGGTAGAGCATCAGTCTGCAGACTGAAAGGTCCCAAGTTCAATTCTGGTCAAGGGCATGTACGTTGGTTGGTTGTGGGCATATCCCCGGTGGGGGGTGTGCAAGAGGCAGCTGGTCGATGTTTCTCTCCCATTGATGTTTCTAGCTCTCTATCTCCCTTCCTCTCTGTAAAAAAATCAATAAAACAACAACAACAACAAAAACACACACACACAAACATTGTACCAAAATAAACCAAAGGAAAATGGTGCTTTTTTGGGGGGGAGGGGAGAAGAGAAAGGATCCCCAGTAAAATTTATAGAAAAGATTCCTTTATTAACTTTTGGCCGAGAATATGTTTGTATATTTTCAGAAAAGAACTCCCAAGACTATGTGGATTCCTGAGGCAGAGAGGAGTTGACAGGCGGGTCTGCTCCAACCACGAAGACAAGAGGAAGATGGAAGACGCTGACTACACCTTGCCATGCTAGCAGTCAGCAACTGTGCGTCACTGCAGGTTACCCAGGACCAAACCGGAGAGGGTCGGACCTGCATTGCCACCATTTGTCCACCATTCAGATATCATTGCTGACATGTACACATGAGGAACTGTTTGACATTGAAACTGGGACTCGGAACTGTTGGACATTGAAATTGGGACTCAAACATTTTTTGTTCTTATATTTTTATTTCTGGTCTGCAGATGTAAGATTTTTTTTTTAAAAAATATATTTTATTGATTTTTAACAGAGAGGAAGGGAGAGAAATAGAGAGCTAGAAACGTCGATGAGAGAGAAACATTGACCAGCTGCCTCTTGCACACCCCCCACCGGGGATGTGCCCGCAACCAATGTACATGCCCTTGACTGGAATCGAACCTGGGACCTTTCAGTCCGCAGACCGACGCTCTACCGCTGAGCCAAACCTGTTTCGGCCAGATGTAAGATTTTTTAAAGAAAAGAAATCGGATTGAGGGGTTGTGAGAGGTGCCGGAAACTGATCATTGTCCCACTATTGAAGAGATGTGGACAGGGAGTACGGAAGGCTGGTCAACCTTAAAAATGCTCTGAAAGGTCAGAGCTAATCACTCATTGTTTAGTTGAGACATTGGTAGCGAAGCAGCTTCCATCTGTTAGTCTTGTGTAAATTTTTGCAGATTGGCTAGTATTGGAATTGCCTGCCTAAAGGATATGGGTGTATCTCATAACCTTAATAAGAGTGGGGTGGGCTCCTGCATGGTCCCCAGTATTCCCAAATTTATACTTGCCTAGTCTCTCTCATTTGTGTGCACCTTCCTTCAGAACCCGAACCCTGAACCGTACAGGACGTGTAAAAGTGTTCCCACGTCCCGTTTTACAAAGAGGTTCTTTTGCTGGGAGACACCTCCCTGTTCTGTTGCCTGGGCAAGACCATGATTCAAATTCCTACCAGACACAAGGTCGTGCTCATGATCGGCGGCACAAATGTAGGTGGACTACATTCTGAAGGGAATAGGAAAGTAGGAGGTGGGGCATTTTAAGCACGAGCTCTGCCCTGAACGGCTAACTTGGAGGCTTGGGGTCCTGGGGGAGCTGAAGGCGTGTTTCAAGCCTGGGGAGGGAAGATGATGCCATTTTGGGGAATGCGCTATCACCCACCCAGAAGGACCTGGGCACAAGGCAGATAATTTGTGTAGAGCTCAGTCAGGACGGGTGTGAGCAGGAGATACGGGTTTGGGAGGACGTCTCCGAGGTCCAGATAGGGAAAGCGGGCAATCCAGGATCTCACCTGTCTCGGGCGGGTGGGAAAGTCAGAACAGCAGGGGTGAACCCAGGATACTGATGGGCCCGGAGGAGAGAACAGGAGAAGGCCGGAGAAGGGTCAGGGTCAGGGTCAGGGCGTGAACCCAAAGGCCAAGTCCCCCGCCAAGAAAGCGAAGGCCTAGTCAACGGGCCATAACACCAGGCAGGGCCATAACAAACACCAGTGCCGGCACAGGCACCAGCCCCTGCGCGGCCAAGGCAGAACGCGGTCTGAAGGGAGACTTCCATGTTTTCACTTCAAGGCCCAGGTCCACGGCAGACTTCTGCAACCAAGCTAAGCCACGGGGAAGCTAACGATCGGAGGAACAGCATGAATACTTACACTGTTCTTGAACTCCCTCACCTGCGGGTAGGGAAGTGATTTAAGTACAGAAACGATCAAAAGTTAAAACCTGCAGGTTTTATGGTCCTCTTCCTAAAGCAATAATAGGTTTGAAAGACTGCTTTGAGAGTGGCATAGGCGTAGGCCTTTACTGTGGCAGGGGCACAAAGCCAGGGGGGCTTCCTGTAAAGTGAAGGGCACGGGGGTGGGGGGAGGGGGGTAGAAGAGGGGGGCTGGAGGCTGGTAGATGGGAGCAGCGCCCTCTCCGGGTCGGTCAGGCAGAGGAAATGGAGAGGACAGACAGCTGAGGGGAGCATCTCAGGCTACAGGGTGTGCGCGCGCTCAGCTACTTGGCTCCTGAGTGGGCCAGTCCCTCAGACCACCGTGTGTCAGGAAGCCCAGTTTCTGTGTAACCCCCCTCCCCCAAGGTTTGCCTTGAGGTTGTGTGCGCTCCCCCGACCCCCAACCCGCACACCTCACCTCTTTTATGAGTCACTAGTAACTGCCAAGCCCAGAGCCGAGCCACGAGGCCCAGCCTGCACCGAGGCCTCCCTACCTTCGCTGGGCAGAGACCCAGAGGCGAGCTCTGGAAATCGCCGCGGTCCTGAAGCAGGGGGATGGCGGGCGAGGCAGCCCCTTCACTGGTCCTCCCCCCATTTTCTGACACATCTCGAGAAGCAAAGGGAGCTTTATCGAAGCGGAGAAGGCACGTTGTGTGTAGAGCAGGGGGACACGGATGAACGTTTAAACATCAGGGCCTCCTTGGCGGTGCGCGGGGAGGAGCGCTCCTGAACGAACACAGACGCACTCCCATCCCTTGGGCTGGGGACCCGCTTACGGAGCACAGCCCGGCCCTGGAGAGGCCGCCCGGGCGCGCCCTGCACCGTAGAGCGCGGCCCAGCGGGGTGTGGAGTCTTAACTTCGGGCCCCCACCTGTGTGAGGCAGGCCCCTAGGGCACAACACCGCAGACTGGCTGGAGGACATCCCCCCCAGGCGGCCCGCAGGAGCTGCCTAAGCCCGGACTCTCACACGCCACCCCCTCGGTGTTGAAACGCAGTCCTATGCTCCCCATTACCCGGCAACGGCACCGCCACAACCCCGAGCGCCACAGCCTCTCCGTGCGGTTGTGGGTGGCTCTGAAAAGAGCCTTTGGATGCGGTGGGTGGAACCCGCAGACGAGGGAGCGAGAGGTTTAGGCGCGCTCCCCGCGGATGCGGCGGGCCAGCTGGATGTCCTTGGGCATGATGGTGACGCGCTTGGCGTGGATGGCGCACAGGTTGGTGTCCTCGAACAGCCCCACCAGGTAGGCCTCGCTCGCCTCCTGCAGCGCCATGACGGCCGAGCTCTGGAAGCGCAGGTCGGTCTTGAAGTCCTGCGCGATCTCGCGCACCAGGCGCTGGAACGGCAGCTTGCGGATCAGCAGCTCCGTGGACTTCTGGTAGCGCCGGATCTCGCGCAGCGCCACGGTGCCGGGCCGGTAGCGGTGCGGCTTCTTCACGCCGCCCGTGGCCGGCGCGCTCTTGCGGGCCGCCTTGGTGGCCAGCTGCTTGCGCGGGGCCTTGCCACCGGTCGACTTCCGGGCGGTCTGCTTCGTACGGGCCATGGCGGTGCGGGGCGCGAGCTGCACGACACGAGACGGCGGGGTCGGTAGCGCGGTCCCGGGCCTCCGCAGCCGCCTTTATAGCCACAGTCCTTCCCCGATTGGGCGGCTCGGTAAAATTGAAAGTCCCGCGCTGGCTGTTCATTGGCTGTGACGTCATCCTCCCCGGCGCGCCCGATTGGCTGGGGCAGAATCTTCCCTGCCCCCACCCTGTCTGCTCTCCGGCTGGCCAACAGCTTTTCCTACCCGGTTTTTCCTTTCTCTCGGGCCGAGTCCTTTTTCTTGTTTTTAAAATCTCAACTGTCAGGACGTCCCTCCGTGGCCCTTCACTCCCTAGGACACGCTATCTACCCGCAATGCCCTCCTTCCTTTCCACGCCCGAACCTAGCTTCCATCTTCCGTTTGTTCCGCTCCCTTTCCCCCCTTCCCCCGGCGGGCCCTTGGTCAATCAGAAGGATCGCTTTTCCCGCCTTTAGGACCGGAAATTTGTCCGGCCCAGGCTCAAGACCCCGCCCCCGAAAGCCCTAACCTCCGCCGGGAAGGCGCCTTCTCCATTCAAAAAAAACGGAAACAAAAAAAGCACACCACAAACCACACAAAACCTTTAGAGAGCCAGCTCAGTTAGGCCAAACTGCAGGTTCGCCCTAGTCCCGAACACGACCCGTCCTCCTACCGACTGGGGTGGGCTGTGTCAGTGGACGGTCCCCTCCCTACCTGACCCCAAGTGCTGGGCAGAGGTCTAGGGGGCGAGGGAGCTTGCGTGCTGGGGGCGGCCTCTCAGAGGCGTTGGGACAGGGGCTTCGTTCCCTTCATCTGCCGTGACCGTGTCCTCAGCTAAGGTCTACGGCCCGACCCACCCCGCCCAGGTCAGGTCAGGTCAGGTCAGGCCAGGCAAGCCAGGCGCTCGGGGAGGGACGGTTGGGAGCCCAAGGTAAGCCGAGCGGCTGGCACCGGCCTCCCTTGCTCATGCGGGGGCGGGACCGGCGCTTTCTACTGCGGGCGTCGGGACGGAGGAGACAGGGTACGACAATAATAACAGCTCTTTTACTTGAAGGAGTGGGTGGCTCTGAAAAGAGCCTTTGATTTCACAGGTGCCCCTCCGCAACGGGGGGGGTGGGCTGGGTGGGCGCCAGACGCACGGCCTCACTTGCCCTTTGCCTTGTGGTGGCTCTCCGTCTTCTTGGGGAGCAGCACGGCCTGGATGTTGGGCAAAACGCCGCCCTGGGCGATGGTGACTTTGCCCAGCAGCTTGTTCAGCTCCTCGTCGTTGCGGATGGCCAGCTGCAGGTGACGAGGGATGATGCGCGTCTTCTTGTTGTCGCGGGCCGCGTTGCCCGCCAGCTCCAGGATCTCGGCGGTCAGGTACTCCAGCACGGCCGCCATGTACACCGGCGCGCCGGCCCCCACCCGCTCGGCGTAGTTGCCCTTGCGCAGGAGGCGGTGCACACGCCCCACAGGGAACTGCAGGCCGGCGCGGGACGAGCGCGACTTAGCCTTAGCCCGGGCCTTGCCTCCTTGTTTGCCACGACCAGACATGACGGCGACACGTACTGCGAGCAGCTCCCGACTGACGACCGAGAAAGTCTCCCTAAACGGCTCCCCTTCACCTTTTTATAGGCAGAACGGCGATTCTTCACCGAGCGCTTTGATTGGCTAAAGAGTGGCTTTGTCCTGTTGGCCAATAGGAGATCGCAGACAGAATACACTCATTTGCATAATCTCGCCCCCTCCCCAAGACGAGCGCCACTGAAAGCCCGCCAATCACAACGCGGCGTACTCGGGACCTTAATTTGCATACAGCCTCTATAAGTACCGAGCCGCTTCCGGTAGCCCTGGTCCCGCTGCTGTCTTTGCGTGCCGGGTCTTTTTCCTCTGCCGCTGGTGCTTCCCGCTATGCCTGAGCCGGCCAAGTCCGCTCCCGCGCCCAAGAAGGGCTCCAAGAAGGCGGTCACCAAGGCCCAGAAGAAGGATGGCAAGAAGCGCAAGCGCAGCCGCAAGGAGAGCTACTCCATCTACGTGTACAAGGTGCTCAAGCAGGTCCACCCCGACACCGGCATCTCGTCCAAGGCCATGGGCATCATGAACTCCTTCGTCAACGACATCTTCGAGCGCATCGCCGGCGAGGCGTCGCGCCTGGCGCACTACAACAAGCGCTCCACCATCACGTCCCGGGAGATCCAGACGGCCGTGCGCCTGCTGCTGCCCGGCGAGCTGGCCAAGCACGCCGTGTCCGAGGGCACCAAGGCCGTCACCAAGTACACCAGCTCCAAGTGAGGCCCGCCGGGGACGCGGCGCGGCGCTCGCAAGAGTCGTCCGACGCATGGACCCTCCCACCCCCCCCAAGGCTCTTTTCAGAGCCACCCACCTTTCTCGCTGAAAGAGCTGGCCACGTCTCGTCCCCGGGTTCGGTGCCCGCTCGAAGCCCTCTTGCTCGCCGAGGCGGCCTTCTGCCTGAACTCCTTGGGCAACGAAGGCAGCGTCAGAGGTTGAGTCCTATGTCAGTCAACAGCTTGGTTGGTATCCCTGTGCAAAAGTGCATCTGCAGGGTGGCAAGGGTTGGGTATCTGAAGTTTCTCCAGTAAAATAAGTTTCACTTTTGACTTATTTTTAATGAGTTTTGGAGTTAGGAAGGGTTAGATCTGTAAAACCCTCACTCTCCTGTTGGTGATGTGCTTTTTTGGTAACCATTTGGCGTCACTACAAATGTTTCCCCAGGAGCAGCTTCGTTTCAGTCCAGTATTCAAGTTAAAATGCCTTCCCCAAGTTTAATTTCAACGTCAGCCTTCCAAATGTAGAGTAGCCTAATGTCTACGAAAACGTTACTTGATTTCCCTAGGCTGGTGTTCACATAAATCGCCATTTCCTCGAATGAGTGTATCAGACTGGATGTACAGCGATATTCAGGCTTCTAGTTAATGTGTGATCACCCTCAGTTAGGCTAAGCTTTTTCAACATAAAAGAGTGAAACAGTCCTAGCAGGTTTGGCTCTGCATAGAGGTTGGGCCTACAGATTGAAGGGTCCTGCGCTCAATTCTGGTCAAGGGCCTGTACCTCCGTTGCAGGCTGGGTCCCCCACCCTGGTCAGGGTGAGTGAGGGAAACAATGTCTCATATGCATGTCTCTTGTCTCCTACTACTACTGTCCATTCTATAAAATGGAGAACTATTCACGGGTGAAGATTAACAACAGCAACAAAAAAGAATGAAAAATATGTGTTGTGGTTCTCATCAAAATGATCGGCCCCTTCCTGTGTATTACTATTTTTTAGTGCCCCTGTTTTGGTATTTTCAGAGAGAATGAATTGTTCCAGGGAAGAAACAAATGTGTTGGGTTGTGGTATTACAGAACTACAAAAAATAGAAATTTTATATATATAATGCTAATTGATCATCACTGTCACAAAGATGGCTGCACCCACAGCTGAAGCCTAGTCCCCATAAGGAGCCTTAAGAGCAATCAGAAGTCGAAACCGGTTTGGCCCAGTGGATAGAAGTCGGCCTGCGGGCTGAAAGGTCCCAGATTGTGGGCACATCCCCAGTACCAGGTGTGCAAGAGGCAGCTGATCAATGATTCTCATCCATGTAAAAAATCAATAAAATATATATTTTTTAAAAAGAGCAATCAGCAGGGACTTGAGGTTACACCCTCCCCTGTCTGTCACCCTCAAGCTTGACAAGGGAACTCAGATCGCACTCCCAGCCCTGGTCTGGGCTGGGGACCCTCAGGCCTCGCCCCTGGCACCAGGCTAGGGGACCTGAGGCTCTGCCCCCTGCTCTGTGGGGCTTGACAAGGATGGAACTGACCTGGTCTGGATGTAGCCCAATGTGGGGGAGGGCGGCCCGGTCTGGGACTCATGCGACTTTGAGGTGCATGTGGGTGGACGGGGACTTTACTTTGGGTCCCGTGGTGTGCTCAGACTTTGACAGGAAGGTTTTCATATACATTTTACTAATTCTCTTTCATTTCTGACACTTCTAATATAAAAGACAATTGCAAAATTATTTCCTCTAATTAATACCCTTTTAATGTGCACGAATTTCGTGCACCCGGTCATTATATACATACATATACTTTGGCTCTCATTTGTTTGGGTTTTTTGCAAAACAGCAGGAAACAAAAATGCAGAAGGCAGATGAGCCAGGCCACCTCGGTTAGGATCTGAGACCGAGGAAATGAGGACCAAGCTGTTAACTGTAAAAGAACATAAAAATATTCAAACCTGCAAATGATTTTTATGAGTTTATTTGAGCAAACAATTGCCAGGAAGTAGTATTTCAAGGATTGGGATAATGTTCCAGATAATGGTGGTATCTCATCTATTTTTATACATTGCAATCAAAAGAGGGGACTTAGGTCATAAAATCCATAGGTGATATGGAGGACAAGGCAAAGCAGGGAAACCCGAGGTTGGATTGGAATAAAATAAAATGATACCAGATACATATTTTGGTGGGTGCAGAATAGTTATCAGTCCGCAATTAACAATGACAGAATTTGTGGTATCTGACCTGGCGCCCAGGAACTTTGGTTTCTGGAGGAAGGGAAGTCACAATTTATCCGGACATTCCAAGGACATATCACAAATACAAAAGAGGCTCAATTAAGGTAAAGGTTGACCTTGTCAGTGAAGATACCAGCCTAGCATGTGACTACTCATCATCACTGCTTTTATATTTCAGACCATCCTCTGTGATGACTATAGGTCTCTTTTGAGTTTTCAAGGCATAGCTTGTCAGGTTAGCATGTGGCCCCTTTTACACCCACAGCAGAAACACCACTGGCTGGCTTAAACCCTCTTGGAGCATCTTGGGGGAAGACAACCGTAGAGGGAGCACACCCACACAGATTACTTGGGAAGACCACTTTGCTTTCCACAGATCATCAGCAGCACCATTCCTCAGGGCACCTTGGCAGTCATCGGATTGAAACACAGAACACCCGTGTTTGGAGGCCTGCTGCCACTGGGACCTGTGCTCTTGGGAGGGACCCTGATATAACTTGGTGCTGCCAAGGCGCTTTCCACCTGCCTTCTCCAAGAGGCCCTGTTGGAGACCCAACCCTTGCCACCCTGCAGATGCACTTTTGCACAGGGATACCAACCAAGCTGTTGACTGACATAGGACTCAACCTCTGACGCTGCCTTCGTTGCCCAAGGAGTTCAGGCGGAAGGCCGCCTCGGCGAGCAAGAGGGCTTCGAGCGGGCACCGAACCCGGGGACGAGACGTGGCCAGCTCTTTCAGCGAGAAAGGTGGGTGGCTCTGAAAAGAGCCTTTGGGGGGGGTGGGAGGGTCCATGCGTCCGACGACTCTTGCGAGCGCCGCGCCGCGCCGCGTCCCTGGCGGGCCTCACTTGGAGCTGGTGTACTTGGTGACGGCCTTGGTGCCCTCGGACACGGCGTGCTTGGCCAGCTCGCCGGGCAGCAGCAGGCGCACGGCCGTCTGGATCTCCCGGGACGTGATGGTGGAGCGCTTGTTGTAGTGCGCCAGGCGCGACGCCTCGCCGGCGATGCGCTCGAAGATGTCGTTGACGAAGGAGTTCATGATGCCCATGGCCTTGGACGAGATGCCGGTGTCGGGGTGGACCTGCTTGAGCACCTTGTACACGTAGATGGAGTAGCTCTCCTTGCGGCTGCGCTTGCGCTTCTTGCCATCCTTCTTCTGGGCCTTGGTGACCGCTTTCTTCGAGCCCTTCTTGGGCGCGGGAGCGGACTTGGCCGGCTCAGGCATAGCGGGAAGCACCAGCGGCAGAGGAAAAAGACCCGGCACGCAAAGACAGCAGCGGGACCAGGGCTACCGGAAGCGGCTCGGTACTTATAGAGGCTGTATGCAAATTAAGGTACCGAGTACGCCGCGTTGTGATTGGCGGGCTTTCAGTGGCGCTCGTCTTGGGGAGGGGGCGAGATTATGCAAATGAGTGTATTCTGTCTGCGATCTCCTATTGGCCAACAGGACAAAGCCACTCTTTAGCCAATCAAAGCGCTCGGTGAAGAATCGCCGTTCTGCCTATAAAAAGGTGAAGGGGAGCCGTTTAGGGAGACTTTCTCGGTCGTCAGTCGGGAGCTGCTCGCAGTACGTGTCGCCGTCATGTCTGGTCGTGGCAAGCAAGGAGGCAAGGCCCGGGCTAAGGCTAAGTCGCGCTCGTCCCGCGCCGGCCTGCAGTTCCCTGTGGGGCGTGTGCACCGCCTCCTGCGCAAGGGCAACTACGCGGAGCGGGTGGGGGCCGGCGCGCCGGTGTACATGGCGGCCGTGCTGGAGTACCTGACCGCCGAGATCCTGGAGCTGGCGGGCAACGCGGCCCGCGACAACAAGAAGACGCGCATCATCCCTCGTCACCTGCAGCTGGCCATCCGCAACGACGAGGAGCTGAACAAGCTGCTGGGCAAAGTCACCATCGCCCAGGGCGGCGTTTTGCCCAACATCCAGGCCGTGCTGCTCCCCAAGAAGACGGAGAGCCACCACAAGGCAAAGGGCAAGTGAGGCCGTGCGTCTGGCGCCCACCCAGCCCACCCCCCCCCCGTTGCGGAGGGGCACCTGTGAAATCAAAGGCTCTTTTCAGAGCCACCCACTCCTTCAAGTAAAAGAGCTGTTATTATTGTCGTACCCTGTCTCCTCCGTCCCGACGCCCGCAGTAGAAAGCGCCGGTCCCGCCCCCGCATGAGCAAGGGAGGCCGGTGCCAGCCGCTCGGCTTGCCTTGGGCTCCCAACCGTCCCTCCCCGAGCGCCTGGCCTGACCTGACCTGGGCGGGGTGGGTCGGGCCGTAGACCTTAGCTGAGGACACGGTCACGGCAGATGAAGGGAACGAAGCCCCTGTCCCAACGCCTCTGAGAGGCCGCCCCCAGCACGCAAGCTCCCTCGCCCCCTAGACCTCTGCCCAGCACTTGGGGTCAGGTAGGGAGGGGACCGTCCACTGACACAGCCCACCCCAGTCGGTAGGAGGACGGGTCGTGTTCGGGACTAGGGCGAACCTGCAGTTTGGCCTAACTGAGCTGGCTCTCTAAAGGTTTTGTGTGGTTTGTGGTGTGCTTTTTTTGTTTCCGTTTTTTTGAATGGAGAAGACGCCTTCCCGGCGGAGGTTAGGGCTTTCGGGGGCGGGGTCTTGAGCCTGGGCCGGACAAATTTCCGGTCCTAAAGGCGGGAAAAGCGATCCTTCTGATTGACCAAGGGCCCGCCGGGGGAAGGGGGGAAAGGGAGCGGAACAAACGGAAGATGGAAGCTAGGTTCGGGCGTGGAAAGGAAGGAGGGCATTGCGGGTAGATAGCGTGTCCTAGGGAGTGAAGGGCCACGGAGGGACGTCCTGACAGTTGAGATTTTAAAAACAAGAAAAAGGACTCGGCCCGAGAGAAAGGAAAAACCGGGTAGGAAAAGCTGTTGGCCAGCCGGAGAGCAGACAGGGTGGGGGCAGGGAAGATTCTGCCCCAGCCAATCGGGCGCGCCGGGGAGGATGACGTCACAGCCAATGAACAGCCAGCGCGGGACTTTCAATTTTACCGAGCCGCCCAATCGGGGAAGGACTGTGGCTATAAAGGCGGCTGCGGAGGCCCGGGACCGCGCTACCGACCCCGCCGTCTCGTGTCGCGCAGCTCGCGCCCCGCACCGCCATGGCCCGTACGAAGCAGACCGCCCGGAAGTCGACCGGTGGCAAGGCCCCGCGCAAGCAGCTGGCCACCAAGGCGGCCCGCAAGAGCGCGCCGGCCACGGGCGGCGTGAAGAAGCCGCACCGCTACCGGCCCGGCACCGTGGCGCTGCGCGAGATCCGGCGCTACCAGAAGTCCACGGAGCTGCTGATCCGCAAGCTGCCGTTCCAGCGCCTGGTGCGCGAGATCGCGCAGGACTTCAAGACCGACCTGCGCTTCCAGAGCTCGGCCGTCATGGCGCTGCAGGAGGCGAGCGAGGCCTACCTGGTGGGGCTGTTCGAGGACACCAACCTGTGCGCCATCCACGCCAAGCGCGTCACCATCATGCCCAAGGACATCCAGCTGGCCCGCCGCATCCGCGGGGAGCGCGCCTAAGAACCTCTCGCTCCCTCGTCTGCGGGTTCCACCCACCGCATCCAAAGGCTCTTTTCAGAGCCACCCACAACCGCACGGAGAGGCTGTGGCGCTCGGGGTTGTGGCGGTGCCGCTGCCGGGTAATGGGGAGCATAGGACTGCGTTTCAACACCGAGGGGGTGGCGTGTGAGAGTCCGGGCGTCCGGGCTTAGGCAGCTCCTGCGGGCCGCCTTGGGGGGATGTCCTCCAGCCAGTCTGCGGTGTGTGCCCTAGGGGCCTGCCTCACACAATTGGGAGCCCGAAGTTAAGACTCCACACCCCGCTGGGCCGCGCTCTACGTGCGGTGCAGGGCGCGCCCGGGCGGCCTCTCCAGGGCCGGGCTGTGCTCCGTAAGCGGGTCCCCGGCCCAAGGGATGGGAGTGCGTCTGTGGCCGTTCAGGAGCGCTCCTCCCCGCGCACCGCCAAGGAGGCCCTGATGTTTAAACGTTCATCCGTGTCCCCCTGCTCTACGCACAACGTGCCTTCTCCGCTTCGATAAAGCACCCTTTGCTTCTCGAGATGTGTCAGAAAATGGGGGGAGGGCCAGTGAAGGGGCTTCCTCGCCCGCCATCCCCCTGCTTCAGGACCGCGGCGATTTCCAGAGCTCGCCTCTGGGTCTCTGCCCAGCGAAGGTAGGGAGGCCTCGGTGCAGGCTGGGCCTCGTGGCTCGGCTCTGGGCTTGGCAGTTACTAGTGACTCATAAAAGAGGTGAGGTGTGCGGGTTGGGGGTCGGGGGAGCGCACACAACCTCAAGGCAAACCTTGGGGGAGAGGGGTTACGCAGAAACTGGGCTTCCTGACACACGGTGGTCTGAGGGACTGGCCCACTCAGGAGCCAAGTAGCTGAGCGCGCGCACACCCTGAAGCCTGAGATGCTCCCCTCAGCTGTCTGTCCTCTCCATTTCCTCTGCCTGACCGACCCGGAGCGGGCGCTGCTCCCATCTACCAGCCTCCAGCCTCCCTCTTCTTGCCCCCCACCCCGCCTCACCCCACCCTCACTTTACAGGAAGCCCCCCTGGCTTTGTGCCACTCTCAAAGGAGTCTTTCAAATCATTCTATTACCATAAAACCTGTAGGTTTTAACTTTTGATCGTTTCTGTACTTAAATCACTTCCCTACCCGCAGGTGAGGGAGTTCAAGGACAGTGTAAGTATTCATTCTCCTTCCTCTGATCGTTAGCTTCCCCGTGGCTTAGCTTGGTTGCAGAAGTCTGTCCTGGACCTGGGCCTTGAGGTGAAAACCTGGATGTCTCCCTTCAGACCGCGTTCTGCCTTGGCCGCGCAGGGGCTGGCGTCTTTGCCGGCACTGGTATTTCTTATGGCCCTGCCTGGTGTTATGGCCCGTTGACTAGGCCCTCGCTTTCTTGGTGGGGGACTTGGCCTTTGGGTTCACGCCCTGGCTGCCCGTGATCCTCACCCTTCTCCGGGTCCCTGTCCTGGCCTTGTCCTGTTCACTCCACCGGCCCCATCAGTATCCCGGGCTCATCCCAGCTGGCCTGACTTTCCCACCCGCCCGAGACTGAAGTGAGATCCTGGATTCCCTGCTTTCCCTATCTCCATCTCTGAGACGTCCTCCCAAACCCGTATCTCCTGCTCACACCCCTGTCCTGACTGAGCTCTACACAAATTATCTGCCTTGTGCCCAGGTCCTTCTTGGTGGGTGATAGCGCATTTTCCAAAATGGCATCATCTTCCCTCCCCAGGCTTGAAACACGCTTTCAAGCTCCCCCTCCGCCCAGTTCCCAAGCTAGCTGTTCAGGGCAGAGCTCGTGCTTAAAAACGCCCCACCTCCTCCTTCCCTATTTCCTTCAGAATGAAGACCATCTTCATTTGCACCGCCGATCACAACCAAAACAGGTGGCTTGTGTCCGGTAGGAATTTGAATCCTGGTCTTGTTGCCCAAATAACAGAACAGGTAGGCATCTCCCAGCAAACGAGCCTCTCTCCCACACTTGTAAAAAGGGGAATGTGGGAATCCTTTTTCACGTTCTGTGTGGTTCAGGGTTCGAGTTCACACAAATGAAAGGAGGGCGCACACAAGTGGGAGACTAGGCAAGCATAAATGTGGGACTATTGGAGGCCAGGCAGGAGACGACCTGTAGGGGGAAGGACTACACACCACTGTGGCTCTGCTAACCCTAACAGTCACTATTCAAACAGAGGGGCAGGGTGAGGAACAGCTTATGGTGCAGGGAATGTCCAGAGGGCAGTTGAGTGCCATGTCTTTCAAAGTGCCCAGCTCTTCCAAGGACTCTCTGGGGGGCCCTAAAAAGGGCCGTTAGGGGTGCTGCACATGGGATCCCGGAGCAGACGCTTAGCCCCCGAAGCCGTACAGGGTGCGGCCCTGCCGCTTCAGGGCGTACACCACGTCCATGGCCGTCACCGTCTTGCGCTTCGCGTGCTCCGTGTAGGTCACGGCGTCCCGGATCACGTTCTCCAGGAACACCTTCAGCACACCCCGCGTCTCTTCGTAAATGAGACCCGAGATCCGCTTGACGCCCCCGCGCCGAGCGAGACGCCGGATGGCGGGCTTGGTGATGCCCTGGATGTTATCTCTCAGCACCTTGCGGTGCCGCTTGGCGCCACCTTTGCCGAGGCCTTTGCCGCCCTTGCCTCTTCCAGACATGGCTGCTGCCGCTAATGCTAAGACCTGCACACACCTGCAGTCGCGGTGCTGGGGAAGGGAGCTCGGTCCCCTGATATACGAGGCCATCGGACCGGATTGAAACCCGCAAGCGATCGTCATTGTCCCCGCCCTCCACCGTTTCTGTTTCCCCGCCCTCCAGGCCGCCCTCCAGCGGACACTATCCGCCACGGTCCCGGGCGAATTTGGATCCCAAAGCCAGGCTTCCGGATTCCACAGCTGTTTTCCTCTCCTTCTCTCCGTCTGTGGGCTCCCCCAGCCCCCCACCCCGCAGGCATTACACTTGAGCGAAGGGAAAAGGTCTCTGGCGGGCGGAGAAGACCCGGAGGAGAGCGAATACGAGTCCAGAGAGCAAGCTCCGGGGTTCATCCCAACAAGAGGATCCCAGGCTCCAAACAGTGAGCAAAGGAAAAGGCAACAAAAGCTGTTTCCGATCGGCAGACGGACTGACGGTCGGACGAGCCCATCTCCAGGGCGGCCGGCACCTGGGCTGGAGGGGGAAGTGGTCCAGGTTTCCTCTCCATTTTGTTGGTGCCGATGCCCGTGCGTCCAAGACCTACCGCCTGGCTCCTCCGAACGGGACAGCATTTGGAGGCGGGACCTTTAAGAAGGCGGTTAGGTGAAAGCGGGGTCACTGGGGTGGGCCCTGGTCCAGCTCGAACCCCGTCCTTAGGGAAAGAAGGGATCTGGGCCCAGGCAACACGGCGGGGCAATGTGGGGGACAGGGGGAACACGGCCGTCTGCAGGCCAAGCAGAGGCTTCAGGAGAAAAGTAAGCCTGGAGGGGCCTTTTTCCGGGCCTCCTACCAAGTTTTGGAGTTTCTTCTTAATATCTCTTACTCTTTGAGAAATTGTACGGTGAGGCGCAGGAGCAACACACAGAGTCCAGGCGATTAAAGAGGGGGAGGTTTTAATCTGCGCTCCTGAGCGAAGCTCGCTGGCCTGAGGGTGGGCCAGGGAAGTTTGCGCCCAGAAAGCGGCATAGGTACTTGTTTTATAAGCTGTTTAGTGGGGGGAGGGCGGAGGGCTTGAGAGGTGTGGACTTCCCGCCTCGGGCCAGGGGTCTAGGAAGGCGCCAGTTATCCTTGTCACCATCTACCTTGCAGATGCTTGCCTTGGCTCTAGGCTCCCCCCTGCCTCGACTAAGAAATAAGTGCCTAGCACTCCTTTCCCTCTTTCCCGCGCTGCACCAGGGAGTGTACTTAAAGCAGCCTCCTAGAATGAAGCTCCCACTTAGAACCACTAGTTTAGTAGGTGGACATGCCCCCCGCCCCCTTTCTATTTTATTTCTATTACAATCTTCAATGTCCTCCAGACTATCTCAGTGAGGAACAGATATTTTTAAATCTACCTTGCATTTCATGTTAAAAACAGACACCAAACGATAGTGATATTTGCAATAGAAATGCTGTCACTTGCAACTGAGATTTTAATTTAAATGGAAAATGAAGCATCTTGAACACTGATTAATTTCTCACCTGGACAGCTTCACAGACGTCCTTCTTGCCATTTTTCCCCTGGTCCTCCCCCCCCCCCCCCCCCCCACCGCTTTACTGATGTCAGACCTTCTGCTCTACATTCAAAGCCGGACACAAGCTCCACCTCAACGGCCATGCTACCCTCCCCAGATTCCAGCAGGCAGTGGCCTGTCAAGATGCCTACATTTCTTCACTCTATTTTTATTATTGCCTATACATTTATTTTTCATACTGTGACAGCATTCCGGGGCAATAGGAATAGGGGAACTGACAGGAAAGCTATGGCCAAACAGTGTGGGAAGTTGGTAGCCAGTTTGTCAATAACAAGCCATTATCTCCCCCTGGCAAGGACACTTGAGAACAAATGACTCAAAGCCTCCCTAACAAGACAATGCAGGAATGGAGGGGGAAGGAGGAGGAGGGAGGGAGGGAGGGAGGGAGGGAGGGAGGGAGGGAGGGAGGGAGGGAGGGAGGGAGGGAGGGAGGGAGGGAGGGAGGGGCACTTTTACTCCCTAAAGAAGCCAGCAGTCTCCAGGACTGGCAAGATAGCACTGCCAGGTGCTTCTCGTGAATTCTAGAAAGGCCACGCAAAGTAAAAGGAGACCTTGGGAATTTAATCTATAGCAGCAGAGGAATTGAGACCTACAGTCAGGTGACGATAGAACCCCTCGGACCCCCACCCACCTTGCTCTTCAGATGAGCTGAGAGCTTGATTAGCCAGATGTATAGGTTTGCTTGCCTTGCTTTAACAACGTTTCTTAATTTAATAAACTGGCTTCATCACAGTGTAATCAAGTTCTCTCTAATAAATTCATTTCTATGAGAAGACAAGGATTAAGGTTGGGGACAGCCCTATCCGACTGGGGAGTTGGGGGGAGGCTGTCTGATAACATCCCTCTGGTATCAGTGAGAGGTGGCTCTCGTAATACTGAATATGCTGCCATGTGACATTCGACCATTAATAGAAGTGATATGTGTGTGTGTTTGTGTGTGTGTGTGTGTTTTAAGTATTCCTCCCCCCACCCCATTCTAATTAGCTCCTAGGGGGCCGGCCCGTGGAATTGCTGACATCTCCATTGCCAAGCCCCATGTTTTAAACCTAGTTCACCTTCAAAGTGTTTAAAAACAGTCAAGTGTAGAAACCAATAAAGCAATAGCTGGTTTTTCTTTGGGGAACTGACAGTTTTTCCCCCCTCTTGACTATATGTATATGCTATACTTAGCTGGAAACTTATGGGCACAGAATGCTGAGAAAGTCTACTTGAAAATATAACTGCAAAGGTATACATAGGCTTAAGGATGAGATTTGGATGCACATTTCAATTCAAATCAGGAAAATTAAGCGGTAGTACAGAGAGACTCTATTCTTTGTGGTGCTGATACAGAATAGCTTTTGCCTTCTCGGTGATTAAATTGTGCTTTCTGTATTGATGGTATGCTCTGCAGGCCTCTCATTCTAAGCTACAAACGTTACATGCCTGAATTGTTACTTGAAGACTTGCTCTCAAGACATCAAGGATATTACTTTGCTTTTACAGCCTATTATCTCTGCATCAGTATCTTTATACAATATTGTCACCGAAAGACAGTATATCTCATAGGTCCTTGACAAGTTTTCTTGAATGTAGTACCCAAAAACGAAAATCTTAAGAAATGCAAGGTTCAGCAAACCCCGAGGAGTCTTTACCGGTATATTACAAAACGGGAAACAAGCACTTTTACACACTGGTTAGACAAGTATTTTACAACTGCACTAGTAACATACAGAGTAGGGCAAAAGTAGGTTTGCAGTTTTAACAAATTTACTCCCTTTCACACACACGTTCCCCTGTATTTTAATGACTGGATTTAACTTGTGCGACAACTCTTGTCACTTTTTCAAGTGAGCACTGTTTAACCAGCCTATGTTCAGGTCCCCAAAACCACAAGGTTCACTACCTTTAAGCAAACCGATATGACTTAACCTGGGGGATAATCTTTAGGATTGAGAAAAGGGGAGGACTATACTTTAGTCTTGGTAAAAGCTGGGTAGTCTCTCAGGAAGCACCATTCACCTCCCCCCGCCTCTGTAGCAAAGGCAGTTGTCTATTCTGCGGAATAAGTGCCCAGCTCTTCCAAGGACTCCGTGGGTGGCCCTAAAAAGGGCCTTTAGGGTTGGTGCACGTGTAAGCCCGCAGCAGGTCTAACCCCCGAAGCCGTACAGGGTGCGGCCCTGCCGCTTCAGGGCGTACACCACGTCCATGGCCGTCACCGTCTTGCGCTTCGCGTGCTCCGTGTAGGTCACGGCGTCCCGGATCACGTTCTCCAGGAACACCTTCAGCACACCCCGCGTCTCTTCGTAAATGAGACCCGAGATCCGCTTGACGCCCCCGCGCCGAGCGAGACGCCGGATGGCGGGCTTGGTGATGCCCTGGATGTTATCTCTCAGCACTTTACGGTGACGCTTGGCGCCACCTTTGCCGAGGCCTTTGCCGCCCTTGCCTCTTCCAGACATGGCTGCTGCCGAGACCAGAAGACACAAGCCTCAGTCCCGGTGAGCCCAGCTCTTGCCTTAATATACGAGACCATCGGACCAGATTGAAAACCCCGAGCGAGCGGGCGGGAGGCGGGCGAAAATGGCCCCGCCCCTCCAGCGTCTCTTCCTGTGTGTCCTGCCCCTTCTCCACGCTCCACGCCGCCCTAATGGACACTGTCCGCCGCAGTCCCGGCAGGATTCAGGGTCCAAAGCCAGGCTTCCGATTCCACAGCTGTTTTCGTCCTTTTCTAGCCGAGTGGGCTCCCCCAAGGAGTTAAATTTAGGCGAAGAGGAAAGGTCTTTGGGGGTGGATGGCGGGGGGATGGAGGGATCAGAAGAGCAAATACGAGTCCAGAGATGGAACGGTAACTAGAGTTCCAGCGCCGAGTCTAGTGTCAACAAGAGGGTCCCAGGCTTCCAATGGTGGTTGCAGAAAAGGGCTCCAGGCGGTACAGAACGCTAGGCCCACGGAGGGATCAGGCACCTGGGACATGGGGGAAGGGAGGAGGGCGAAGTCGCCAAAATGCCCGCATCTGGTCCCTATTTTGGTGGTGTGGGCCAGAAGATCACCTCTCCCAGGAGAAATGAGAACCTAGGAAACGGCTCTCACCATGTGGGCAAACCTGGAGATCAGAGAATCCAATGCACTGTCATCCAAAACTCTACTTAAAGAAGCAATATACACAGGAAGAGAACGGAAGGGCATTCTGCAACTTTCTATTGATATTTGCTGAAACTGACATTTGTTTTCAGCCAGGATTCAGTTCCCAAACGGTACCCATTGAGACTCCACGTAGAGCTCCAAAGTTTGCTAAATTGGGTTTTCCAAGTTGACACCTCCATATTGACAGTCTGTGCAATTGATTAGGGTCCTTATTGATACCCCATTAATTTACCAGGGCCTTTTTAGGCCAATTCGTGAGGAGATGCGGTTTCTCCATCAGACTGGTGTTTTTGAGAAATGTTTATCTTTTAAAAATCTCATGAGCCTTCTGTCTCTCCTTTGGCTCTACCCTCTGTAAGTTAATGAATTCCCAATCTGTATCTATCCAGATTCCTAGGCTTCATACATGTAGATCTAGCCTCCTGTTTGTTCTTTAGTCATTTGAAATTCAAAACTCACACTATCCAAAATTCAAAATATTTGAACTGAAAATCACTAAGGTGGGACTCTCGTGACGTCTGAAACTATTCCTTCCCCCACCTCCGCGTCTATCTGTTCACTGAACGGTGCCATTGCATCGCATGTCTAAAACACATGTAGATGTTGAAGTGCAGTAGAATGTGCCACCCCAAAATGTGAATAGTTTAGGACATGCCATACCAAAATCATGTTTTGGTGTGTTATTTTGAACCATATGTACTTGAAAAACGGCAATTTCAGGAACAGCCTTTTTTTTATATTTGAAATCTCTCTTGGTAGATTCTCTTTTAATTGCACCCCATCCCATCCCCAGCGAAGAATGGACAAGCTCTTGGTTATTTTAATGGGCCAAGAGTTGGGGAAGGAGGGGGGATGCTAAGGCACGTTAGATCATACAGGACAGGCTTTCTTTGAATTCCCCTTATCTGCCTATAGGCAGGTCCCCCAAAAAAGAACTCAATTGTCTGGGCTTAAGGATTAAATTGACACAAGGCTGATCACAAGGAATAAAGCATGCAAATTTTAATATGCATATGTGTACACAGTAGCATTCAGAAGGAAATGAAAACCTAAGGAGCCCAAAAGTTTCTACATGTCTTTTAAACAGAACAATAAATTCTGAGCCTTGGGCTGGGGAAAGTAAATTGTGGGACAATGACTAGGAGATATATGGGGGAAAGTCATGGACAATACAGGTATTTTAGTAGCTTGATTTGTGTAGATCCATTTAAATGTCAATCCCCTGTCTCAGGTGTAAAGAATGTTCTTCCTGCTACTGGGAGAATATCTTTCACATGGGAAAATTTATGAGCTATTTTTAGGTAAAAGAGGCAGGTTTGAAAGCCCTTCCTTTGCCTGCTGTTTCTCAAGTGCCTTCAGTTCAAAATCAACATACTACTCAATGGCATGTTTTGGGGTGACATGTTCTGTACCCCCTCAAAACTCTTAGCTATGATAAGAAAGGCAAAATTGTACTTCTACTCTCTTAGGGTTTAGACTGCGCCTGAGAATTAAATTGGCATGAGACATACTAATGGAAGGAAACATACAAGTTTATTTACTGCAAATTTTACTTGCCATGGATTTCTCAAAAATTGTTGACTATTTACCGGTTAATAGTACGGATTAATTGCTAACCAGTTAATAATTTGTATTGATTATTTACTGGTTAATGTGGATTCACCCTTTACCGGTTAATAATGCGGATTTTGCAATCAAACACGATAATTTCAAGAGAGACATCAAACTGCTTTGTTCAAAGTAATGTCCATCGCTAGCTACACATTCCCCCCATCTTCCAGGTAATTTGCGGATACCGTCCCAATAGAACTTTCCTTGTTTTGAGGCAGACCATTCAGAAACCCAATTTTCGACTTCTTCGAACGTTTTGAAGTGCTGCACTGAAAGTGCATGTGCCATCCATCGGAACAAGTGGTCACCTGAAGGAGCAAGGTCTGGTGAATACAGCGGGTGGGTTCATTCTTCCCAGGCAAGATCTTTTAACGGGTCTTTAACTGGTTTTGACATGTGTGATGGATGGTGCCAGAATGGGGGCGTGCCTTGAGGTCCCCCATCAAGTCTCGCTGGGCAGAGGGGCACGGCCTGAGTTCCCGCGGCTTAGCACTGGGGGTGCACCTTGAGGTTCTCCATCAAGCCCCGTTGGGTGGGAAGCACGGTCCGAGGTCCCCTGTGCCAGGCAGGGAGCTCAGCCTCAGGTCCCCAGGCCGGGTGCTGGGGCGGGGAGAGCAGCCTGAGGTCCCCCGGCCCAGCACTAGGACGTTGAGGTTCCCCGTCAAGCCCCACGGGAAGTGGCAAGGTGGGGGGAGAAGAGTTCAATGTGAGCTGAGGTATTGTTGCAAAAATCAAAATAAGAGAAAGTTTAATTTGAATTCATCTGGCGCTGCACATCTCTTCCATACATGGCCACAAGGAAAGAGAAAGGCAACAGCAAAACAGATTCCACCCAAATTGGCTACTGTCGCTTGATATGATTTACTGGTTAGGTGAAATAGAGCATTTTTTATTGGTTCACAAGGCTTTTGTTCTTATGATCCCTGTGGGAGCGTGAGCAGCGCCTTACTGATACCGGCTCTGCCTCTATGACGCCACTGTTGGAGAGTAACCAATGGAAACGCTGTCTGTCCGAGTCTTCATTTGCATATAGGCTCTATAAGTAGCTCACAACCAATTCAGTTGCAGTCGCGGTTGGTTCAACTCGTGAGTGGTTCCTCCTCTCCCAAGATGCCTGATCCAGCGAAGTCCGCTCCTGCTCCCAAGAAGGGTTCCAAGAAGGCTGTGACGAAGGTGCAGAAGAAGGATGGGAAGAAGCGCAAGCGCAGCCGCAAGGAGAGCTACTCCGTGTACGTGTACAAAGTGCTGAAACAAGTCCACCCGGACACCGGCATTTCGTCCAAGGCCATGGGCATCATGAACTCCTTCGTCAACGACATCTTCGAGCGCATCGCCGGCGAGGCGTCGCGCCTGGCGCACTACAACAAGCGCTCCACCATCACGTCCCGGGAGATCCAGACGGCCGTGCGCCTGCTGCTGCCCGGCGAGCTGGCCAAGCACGCCGTGTCCGAGGGCACCAAGGCTGTCACCAAGTACACCAGCTCCAAGTAAGGGCGCCCAGGAAAGGCGATAGAACAACCACTTTACCCCAAAGGCTCTTTTCAGAGCCACTTCAGTTGTTGGAGAAGCAGCTGTAAGCGCTTGTGAGGTTGGTAAGCTTCTGTCTTCGTAGGGCGGGCCTAGGGTTTGGTGGGGATCTTCGTGGTAACAAGGGTTTTACTTCGTACAAATCCCGTTTCCGTAGTTCTCAGTGGGCGCTTAGGTGCACAGGAGTAGAGATTTTCGCTTTGGGATGAGCTCGCTGGGTCTTACTCTCGCGTGAACTGTTTGTTGCAAAGTTCTCTCCAGCTCATTTTACCGATACCCTATAAAGCCACATGCCTTAGTTTATTGACCCAAGTATGCACCTGGCCGTCTCCCATTTCCCTGTCCAATAACCAGCCATTTTGTCCCCATTCATTGGGACATTGGGCGCAACAGCCAGAGATAGTGCTTGTCAGCACTTGAGATATTATCGGTATCTGGTGGGTAGTTATCAGGGAATAGTCTCATAACCAAGATTCACCTGGTCCAAAATGCCTGTGCTACGTAGTGAGGAGACCAAACAACTTTCAGAGCATTTATTAAATCCTCATCTCCGTCAACCCTTTCCTCAATCTCTACCCAACCAATATTGCTCTTAGTGAGAGCCAAGCAGTGCAGGCTTGGACGCCTCCACAGGATTTTCTCCAGGGTGAGAACCTTGTCTTTGTTCTGCAACAAACTCCTGGTTTATAAGAATTACTTTGGTGAGATCTTTCCAGGTGACTTTACTGAATTGCCTTATGACTGGGACCGGGGAGGTGCTTTTTAGTGCTCCCAGGTGTTTTGTGTATGTGCGCGCGCGCGCGTTTTACATTTTCATTGATTTCAGAGAGGAAGGGGAGAGAAACATCAATGATGAAAGGACTATTGATTGGCTTCCTCCTGCACAAATCACACAGGCCTGTGCCCTTGACCAGAATCAAACCTGGAACCCTTCAGTCTGCACGCAGGCTGATGCTCCAACCACTGAACCAAACCGGCTAGGATTTATTCTTTTCATAATAGGCTTTCGGAGCATGAATACAGGTCCACAGCTTTGCCCTATCCGGTTTGGCTCCAACTAAGCCACTCAGGCCGGGCTTAAGGGTAGATATTTGCCTACCTTTTCCGCTTCTATAGCTTTATTTTGCTGGTTCAATTCCTGGTCAGGGCATATACCTGGTTGCAGGCTCGATCCCCAATTGGAGCGCCTTCCAAAGGGCAACCAGTTTCTCACTTTGATGTTTCCTTCTCTCTCAGCATATTCTCAGGTTAAGATTAAATAATACTTTTTCTTAAGGCACCAGTTTTACCAGACCTTAAGGGGAGAGATATCTATATTCTATAAATTGACCAAGGGATTGATAAAAGATGTTCTAGGTCACAATATACAAACCTGTTGCAAATGTTTATTTCTTCTCTTCAAGGCTTTATTCTGCCCTTCCAGAAGAAGTGGGCCTCAAAGTCACAGCCAGACTCCAGATGATTGCTGTTTCACTGGGGATCATGTCAGTGCTTCCTCAAAATTAAATTATCAGAGAATACATTTGGGAAGTGTATTTCTCCAGAATGTGTAAGCCTATTGTTTCTAATGGTTCTTAGAGATTTTATACCTCCGCTAACTCATGTAACATGTTTGGGGATCTCTTCTTTTAACATATGCTTCCTCTTCACAATTTATTTCCTATCCTAAGGATGAAGGAGTAATATGTGCTTATTGTAATATGGAGGTGAAAGGGGAAGACATGACGATGAGCTTCTTACCCTTTGGGGTTTTGACCCCATATTTAGAAACAAAGCAAGGAGTGGTGAATAATGAAAGGGCAGCACTTTATCGGCTCCCATTTTACTGTTAATGTGCATTAGCAAAGTCTGCACCTAAAAGTCACACATTTTTAACTTTTTTGTTGATTTTTGTTTTTTGCAGCTTGTCAAAGCTTAATATACAGTTCTCTTAAGGTCTTCTCTTAGAAATCCCATCAGGAGCAAAGAACCCAATGGGCCCGGACTCTTGCAGAAGCTCCGGTGGTCATACAATGAGTTTTGTGTTTTTTAAATATATATTTTATTGATTTTACAGAGAGAAATTGAGAGGGACAGAAACGTCGATGAGAAACATCGCCCAGCTGCCTCTTGCACACCCCCCACTGGGGATGTGCCCGCAACCAAGGTACGGAATCTAACCCGGGACCGAGCAGAACCGTTTCGGCATACGAGTTTTAGGGCTCTCCCTAGGAGGCCTGGAACGTGAAGAACAATTCCTCCTCCCTCCCTTGTCCTGCCCTCCACATAACCAGTTGCCTGTTCTCCATTCGGTCTACTCTGGAGTGTGGTACTTGGGCCTGGAAGCCCTGGGGAGGTGGACCCACGAGTCTCTCCAATGAAGCCTGGGTAGGGCCAACAGACCCTGGTAAGCCCTGCTAAATCTGACAGCTAAGAAAGAACTCCCCCAAGCCCACCCTCCATCCTCCTCCCTCTTAGTTGCATCAGTCAGTCCCCTCCGGGGTCTTCTCTGTCCTGGTCAAGGGGATAAAATGGGCCTTGGGTTTGCCCCTGAGGGTGCAGGCCCGTGCTTCCCCTATGCATTTCGGAGCAGACCTGGCAGAGCCTGGAGGCTCCCTGCACCGGGGCCTGCTGCTTCCGAGTCCTTTCCTGGGCTCTGAGGATGGAAGAACAGCAGGAGGGTGGCCTATACTTGACTGCCATCTCGCTCTCCCCCTGCTGCCGCTGCCTCCTCTTCTCGGGTGGGTTCCCGCGGAGTCCCGGCGGGCGGCGCGCTCAGCCCGCGCGCCCCTGCCTCCCAGCAGCCCCCGCGCGCGCGAGGCGGCGGCCGAGGCTGCAACCTCTACATGCGGCCGCGGGGTGGCGCCGCCGCCGCCGCCGGGTCCGTGAGGAGGCGGATCGGCCCTATCCCCGACCCCGCCCGTCCCACCCCCCCTCCGGCGCAGGCCTAGGTAGGAGTGTTTCAACTCCGCGGGCCGGAGGCTGCAGCCATTGCCTCTGGCTTCCCGCGATGCTTGCTTCCTCCCGCGGCGGACCGGGCCCACCGGGAGCCAGCGTCTCACACCGGCGGCCCCGGCGAGAGGTGCGGGCCCGCTCGCAGTGGAGTGCTCTCTCCGGTACCGGGCACTCCCTCTCCTCCGCCCGCACTGCGGGTGCCGCCCACGCCCTCTAGAAGCGGCGGCGTCAGCGGTCCCGGAAGCCCTTTTCCCTGGAGTTCTCCGCCCGCCCGGCGAGGGCGGCCGAGCGCGTCCTCTGCGTGACGTCACTTCCGGCTCCGATTCCCAGTTCCTCGCGCTGGTCTTCCCCACGCGGTCCCTACATGGGGCGCGTTCCCTGCTATTCTCATCTGTTTCTCTGGTCCACAAGACAAAACATTCTGTACAATCAGCGGAACTTCAGCTGTTATATGTGACCATGTCCTTTATTTTTTTTTTTCATTACCAAACTTTATTCTTTGATTGTTGTTCTCTTTTGCACACTAGACCCAACCCCAGCCCCCTCCCTGGACCTTCACCACATTGTGTCCTTGGGCTATGCATATATGTCATTTGATTAATATCTTCACCTTCTTTTATCCAGTCCCACCCCACCCTCCCCCGCTCCGACAACTCTCAGTCTGTTCCATGTTTCCATGCCTCGGGTTCTGTATCGTTTGTCAGCTTATTTTGTTCCTTAGATTCCATCAGCCTGGACAACTTGTGTAAAAACTCCATTCCATGCTGGGCCTGAAACATCCCAAAGCTCAATTTTGTAATTAAATTGTGACTAAGATTTAGATGTTGCAAAAAGGGTAGTGATACAAATGTATTCCTCTCAATAAATTCTATTTTATTGCAGGATAGGTCTAAATACTGGAGGGAGTGCAGGCCTTCAAATGAATCCTTATGCAATTCTCTCAAATTATTTCCACTGAGAATTAGTTTCTCAACCAAATGGTATGACTTCCACGTGTCTTTACCAATGTAAGAAATAGTTTCCTTGCAAGTTTAAGACAGTAAAAGTACCACTGTAGGTGTGGGGCTCTGGCACGGGCACTCTGTGGAGTCTCTGCTTTGGGCCGAGACCAGTACAGGAAAGTGTTCCATTACTGCAGGTACAGAGCTTACATATGTTCCTGGTGGCACTCCGTTCAGTCACTGGAGGAACTGTCTCAGATGACTCTCGTTGCTGAGTTCTGATGACTTCCGGGTCCACAGACTGGACCGTGACTTCGGTCAACATTGGCTGCTGAGCCTGAATAGGCTCTGGAAGTGCCACCTCAGAGGGCTTTGGGGGAGCTGTAGTCTGCTGCAGGGCTGCACCATCAGCTTCCAAAGTAGGTTCAGGGGTGATGGTCAGCTCCTGGTCCAGCGGTTGAAATGTGACTTCAGACAATGTTGGCTGCTGAGCCTGAACAGGCTCTGGACGTGGAAGTGCCACCTCAGGGGGCTTTGGAGGAGCTCTAGTCTGCTGTAGGGCTGTGGCTTCAGCCTCCGAAGTAGGCTGAGCTGGGGTCTCCTGCTGGGATGGAGGCTTGAGCTTGTCTGTGAACTTCGGAGGATGAGCTGAGACCTTGTCAGCTGCAGATAGTTCAATATTTGTAGGGGGCTCTGAAGTGATCAAAACCCCCAGATCCACACCTTCAACATTGATAATAGGCAACACTGGATGCTGAGCTTCACCCGAACCAAGAGGTGAGACTGTCTCCTCATGATGGACTGAAGGTTGAGCTACGACATCCATAGAGGATTTCCGGGGCTGAGCTCGACCCTTCTGCTGGACTGGAGAAGGCTGTACACCTGCCAGACACACGTGCGTGGGGGATGAGCTCTTCTGCTGGATTGAAGATTGAACACATTCAGGGTAGGATGGAACTCCTTGGTGGACTAACAACTCTTTCAGTGGCTCAGAGGACACTGTAGACTGAGCTTGAGCTTCATGTTGGGGTGGAAGCGGAGCTGAAGCTTTCTGGGAGTTTGGAGAAGCTTCCCTTGTCTCGGAGGACTCTGGAGGCAGAGCTGAGGCTTCCTGTCTGGATGACGGAAGTTCATCGTCTTCAGATGTACATGTAGGGTTTTGCTGATCCCAAGACCTGGGCTCGATGAGCCCAGGGGGAACGGAGGTGAGCAGGACAGGGACCAAGGCCAGAGGATGAGAAGCCTGAACTTGCAGCCACATCAGCTTCCATGTGAACAGGAGCCATGAGGCCCAGAGGTGCAGCCAGGACATGGCAGGCACAGGTCCGAGGCACAGCAATCCTAGGCAAATGAGGCGCTGGCACCATGTGCTGAGTATGAGCCCAACAATTGGCAGCCGTGTCACAATTGGTAGCTATGCCATGTATGCGCCACTTGGCAACCAAGCACCCCTCCCCCACCTCAGGTTCCAAACTTTATTTAAATAAGCTTTATTAATCGTAGGCTGAGAGTGACTTCAGAAGAGCGAGCCTTCTTAGCAGAATCACCAGGGCCCAAGTGGTCCTTTTCCCCTGCATAAAACACAACTACCTCTCCCTGGCTCTCTCCTCCCTCCTCACCACTGTGAGGATTTATGCTTCACACCTGGTGGCCCAGAGTCCAGCAGCCCAGGGATGGTGAGATGACGGGGTGCCGGGAGTGCTGTAGTGCTTCCCAGTGACCATATCCTTTAATAAAAATGTTGGAGTTGTTGGGCTTCCATTGAGATGATGATAATAGTATTTTTTTTTTTTTCTCTGAAAGTGAAGTGGAGAGGACATTCTCCTTGTCCACAGGCTAGGGAAGCAGGGCACTAAGCTGCTCTTCCATCTACTTCCTGTCCCAAGTTGCTCGAGGGTGCTTCCAGGTGGTGGGTGTTGCAGGTGAGCCTCGTCCTGTGGAGCCAGACCAGAGGCTAGGCAGGAATGTGCCCTTGTTTGGCAGACGGGCTACATTTTTTAAAACTAAATAATTTGTTTATACCCTTTTGTGTGTCTTTTTCTGAGCTAAATTTTTTGTTTCAACTTTATCTCAGCTGTTTTGTGTGGAGTAGCAGGGAAACATTTTGTATCCAAAAACACAGCCCAAGTGAGAGACCAGTATATATATATGCTTGAGAGAAACATCAATGTGAGGTTGAACTGGCAAGCTAGGTGTGGGCTCTGACAGAGAATCAAACTGGCAACCCTCCAGTACCCAGATGACAACTGAGCTGCACTGTCCATGGTCAGAGCAGTGTATCTTGAAGCTAGTTCGTACTCACTCAGAAAATCAGAAAGATAAAGTAAATCTAGGAGGTAGGAATTGAGACTTTAGGATGTCACTGCTCCGTCCTATTTGAAGCTTCTCCTTGCAAGTGCCAAGCTTGGAGCTCTGTGTTTAATTTATTAGGAAAAGCAGCTGTTACATTCTGCTTTTCCAAAGCTCAGGGATTGAGGACAGACAGCAAAAACCCCGGTTATCTCTGGACACAGGGAGGCTATGAGAAAGCCTCAAATGAAAAGGCAAAAATAATGCACCCATTTCTCATCCTGAGTTATTCCCTCACTTCCCTTTAATCTTCCCTGCTGGTGCGCTAAAGAAAAGGTTATCAAGTAACCATCCTGAGCCCCACAGAGATGTGAGCTCTCATTTCTACAGTCTCGCAGAAGTCATTTGCAAGTTGTTTCCTTCCTTTCGGTCTATACCACATGTGTCAGACACAAGGCCCGCGGGCCAAATCCGTCCCGCCAAGCCTTGCAATGTGGCCCGCACCGCGCTGTCATCACTGCACTCCGCTGCGTTCCATCACAATGACAGTTTATGACTGTTCAGTAAACCATTCGGCCCGCGATTTAGGCTGGATTTTAGATTTTGGCCCCTCCTCTGATTGAGTTCGACACCCCTAGTCTATACTATTCCTACTTGTATCCCTTCTCTCTCTCTCTCTCTGTCTCTGTCTTTTTCTGGCTTAATCTCTTATACATATGCAAAAGACTTACCTTTCACCCTGTCCCCAGAAATATTGCTCAAAATATTTAATAGGATAATCAGGTTAGACTTGACTTCCAGTTTTTAAATATTCCTTTAGAGGAGGTCTCACATCAAATCATTCCTGATTATAAGATTTCCAAGTTTACCTTCATTGAAGTCAGCTCATTTATTTGCTTTTTATTATTATTTTTAAATATATTTTATTGATTTTTTTACAGAAGAAGGGAGAGGGATAGGAAGCTAGAAACATCGATGAGAGAGAAACATCGACCAGCTGCCTCCTGCACACCCATCACAGGGGATGTGCCCGCAACCAATGTACATGCCCATGACCGGAATCAAACCCGGGACCCCTCAGTCCACAGGCCGACGCTCTATCTACTGAGCCAAACCAGTTTCTGCTATTTGCTTTATTTAAGAGTTAGTTAGGTGCCATGGGACTCACAGTTCTATTATAGTGTCTTCATTTTGGAGGTTGTGCCCCAGTGGTCACACAAAGAGGAAGAGGTAGGGACTGCCGTGATTTGTGGGCACCCACTGAGCTGCTGCTGCTGCTCCTAGAGCTTCTGGAATGCCTTTCTTGCAGCTGTTCTGGTTCCTGCTATTTCGGCTCTTCTTCTAAATGTCTGTCTTCTCAAAAATAAGAAGTTACCTTCTTCCCCTGGTCGGCAGAGTCCAAAGGAATGTCTAAAATCCATGTATTTTCTCTTTGCAGTTTCTTATGTATTATCACACACAAAACAGTGTTCACCAAAAATATCATTGCCATTGCCACATAGAACAGACCATGAAACCAGACAAGAGTTGGTGACTCCTGAAGGCCTGTAAAAGAAAATGACAAAGAAATGCCATTCAGAAACCAGAGGGATCTGACTGAGTTATGTGGAAGGGAAGGTTAGCTGAGACCTGCTATGCCTCTCCCCAGGTGGCTCCAACTGAGCCACATGGGGCAGGCTCCTCAGAAGACCTGAACTGCCAAGGCTGTCAGTGGACAGAGACAGATGCTGTTTCTATGTAATGCTTGAAATGAATTTGGGTTGAAGATAAATATTTCTCCCCACCCCAAGGAGTTTTTCTTCTGGAGCTCACAATCCCTTCATCTCAGCCAGATACAGACATTTGGGGATTTATGTGCAATCCACAAAATCCCCAGCCGTCAACCTACCATGTGAGCTCCTTTAAGTGAGAATTGCTTCCCAATACCTGTGACAATAGATAGGATGAACTTTATATATTGCTGATTAGATTGTCAGGAAAGAGAGGGAGAGAAAAGGGAGGCAGAGAGAGAAAAAGAAAATAAAGGAGAGAAAAGAAAAAAGGAAATAAACAGAGGAAGGAAGGGAGAGGGAATGCAGTGATGTTTATAAGGAAAAGAGTGACGTTTGGAATCAAGGTTGGAAAGGCCTGTTCATAGGTTTTTCCTGTCCGAGCCATGAATCCCCTGAAACAGACCTCAGTCCCATAGGAGAAAAGGGAGCATCTTCTTTTGTGCCAGTCAGTTCCCATCCTTCTCACTCACCAAGCACTTGAAGCTCCAACTCAGGGCTGCGCTTGATGACACTTCCGTCTTCTGTGGCAGCCTCACACCAGTAGAATCTGGAATCTTCTCTGCTAGCGTTTCCTAGCTGGTAGTCAGAAGACGTGGTCCTGTTCACCAGGGTCTTGTCTGCCATGTAGAAGGAGAAGTAGAGCCGCACCGGAGGGCTGTGTGGGGGCACCCTTGTTTCACAGCTCAGAATGACTGGATTCCCTTCCAGGAGGGGGGACGAAGAGGATGCTCTCAGGACCGGGGCTGGAAACAGCTCTAGAGAAAAAGTTGACAGTTACCTGACTCAGAGTCAAGGTTCTTTTTGCAGAAGATATACCCCCTCCTCTTTTGGGAAACTGTCGCTGGAGAGTGAACCCAGAAAACAATTTCTCCCACTTCCAGTAGAGAGACATTCTTGGGGGTTCCTCATAGATACAGTTACCGGCTTGCTCATATCCTACTGGGGAAAATCCTCTACATGACTCATGCTTCCCTGACTACTGCTTATTGTATGACCATGCCCTAGCAAGTTCAGTGTCTCACATGATAATCTAGGCCAGAGGTCAGCAAACTCATCAGTCAACAGAGCCAAATATCAACAGTACAATGATTGAAATTTCTTTTGAGACCCAATTTTAAAAAAAAACTTCTTCTAACGCCACTTCTTTAAAATAAACTCGCCCAGGGGGAGAGCTACACTCAAGGGGCCAAAGAGCCTCATGTATCGATAGCTTGCAAGCCTCAGTTTGCCAATCATGGATCTAGGACAATAATTTCTTGCCCTTTTTTTTTCATACAGAAGAGGGAGGAAAAAAAGGTGCTACTGGTTATGAGTATTGAGATGAAAGGCCATTAAAGAGTCACAACAAAGGCCACGGGCAACTAGAGCAGAGGAAGCTACTTAGTTAGCAGAGAGGTTCAGAAAGAGGTGGAACCAGAGAGGCCACGTTTCCCCTGAGAGATAGATGGAAAGTATAACTAAGTCCCAATGTCTTCCTGGCCTCTGTTTCTTATGGAGCTTTTATGAGAGCCCATGGGTTTATGGTCTAGTAACTCCCTACCTACCTTGAGTGAGTCTCTATTCCTTGCAACTAAAATAAAGTTGATGAAATGGATCCTCACTATGCCCTGGCCTTGACATTCGCTCCTGGGATTATTAAAGCGACATCATAGTATGCTGGAAAGAGCAATACCTGGGACCCGGGAAACCTCAGTTCTGGTCCCTACCCAACCGCTGGTCACCTTGCGGCCTCTAGTGAGGCAGTTCACCTCCCCGGAGCTCAGTTTCTTCACTTGCACATTAAAGTGGTGGTTGATGATGGTTTCCCTGGTCCTTAACACAACATACAGGTCTGTGATCATTCAGATACGATACCTTTCACCGTGATAGATACTCCTGCGGATTTGAAGTGCTTGCTTCCCTCGCAGTGATAGATGCCACTGTGACTCGGGTTGGTTTTCAGAATGGTGAATTCAGAATTCCAAGAAGAAAACCTGAAGGTCTTGTTATTGTGGTAGAAAAGTATATTGGACACCTTCTTATTCTTCCATCCATGACACCTCAAGGCCAGAGGTTTTCCTTCAATGACGACTCTGCTAGAGACCTGAAGTAGTAGCCAATCTGGAAAATGTGGACCCAACATATACGTATACAGTGGCAGAGGTACAAGGAAGCCAGCGCTTTCTTTTTCTCCTTGAACATTCCAACCTACAGCCCTGCTGATTCTGAAGCCCACCTCCCTCCCATTCATCGAAAGAAAAGTCATCTTTATCTGCATCCCTGTACACAGCCCCTGTTATCTTCCCTTTGCAGATCTTAGAAGTTGGTTGGGACAGAAACAGTTTATCCTACGTGGTAGGCAGTATTCTAAGATGACCCCAAGAAGTCACACCCTTAGGTAATCCCCTTGAGAGTGGGTGGAACCTATAACTTGTTTCTAGAACCAGAATAAGACAAAGGTTATGGGATGGCACTCCCATGATGATGTTGCATTATCTCAGACTCCATCTCAGCTGTCTGGACTAAGAGACTCTCCTGCTGGCCTTGAAGAAGTAAGCTGTTGTGAGAAAGCCTATGAGAGGCATAATGCAGGGAGGCTCCAGCTGACATCCAGCAAAAAGGTGGGGACTTCAGATATCTATCTATCTATCTATCTATCTATCTCCCTCCCTAAAAAAAAAAAAAAAAAAAAAAAAAAAAAAAAAAAAAGTGGAGGAGGCCAGGGACTTCAGTCTTAAAATCACAAGGAACTGCATTCTGCCAAGGACCACGTGAGTTTGGGAGAACTGCTGGAAGGACCACAGCTCAGTCGACACCCAATGGTAGCGTCAGGAGAACAGAGACTCCTCTCCAATGGAAAGATCCTTAATGTATGTTGTTTTAAGCTAAGGTTTTTGTTCCATAGCAACAGAAAACTGATACACTCTAATTCCTGACTGATTTGTTAATGGGATCATACATACTAAGACCAAACTCACAAAATGGCAAACACATCCAGATGTATTTATGCTTCTAAATTGATAGAAATACTCACATATGTACAGATCACTGATATAGCTGATAAAAACAAGCTCCAAGTCAAATGGGCCCTCACTTTTTTTAAACTTTTTTTTGGGGGGTGGGGGGGAGGCCTCACTTTTGATGGCTACCTCTCCACATAACCAAAATTGCCTCCTTTTCTTTTTCCTTCCCTGGGCAGTTGGCTTGGCTGAGAATGAGGTTCTTAAAGGACAAAAGTAGAGAAGAGACAATAGTGCTTGTCCCTCCTCTAGAACTTATCCAAGAATGGAAGGCAGGCATTCAGTGCTACATGTAGCATGATTTTTAGTCTTGGACGCCGCCATAAGTTGCTTCCAAATGTTATTAATACTCTTTCCTCCCTTTTCCTGTTCTCAACCAAGAGGTACTCTAAGACTGCATTACCCAAACACAGGCATCTTTGCTTTATACATCCACAGAGTGGGAAATTTTAACCTCCATCAGGAACTGTCCAAAATACAAAATACTAGTGATGATATAAAAGATTTGAATGAAATCAGTAGACTTAATATCATGGATTTACAGAGAATGCTGTACCTCAGAGAAAATTCGCATACTTCCCAAATACACATGCAAGAGTTATACAAAGTGAACACGTACCAGGCTACAAAGCAATTTTCAACAAATACCAGGGAACTGATATATTGAGCACAAATTCTGACCAAAATACCATAAAAAGAAGAAATCAATAACAAAAACACCCTCCAAACACACTTCTAAATAAATCATGAGTCAAAGAAAGAAAGAAAGTTATAAGTGAAATTTAAAATATTTAGCCTTAAAAGATAACAAGAATATTACATATCAAAAATTTAGCAGACATTTATTTTCTATTCAAAAACCCATCTCTCGCCTGACCAGCATGGCTCAGTAGTTGAGATTGACCTGTGAACCAGTAGGTCACAATTAAATTTCTAGTCATGGCACAAGCCCTGGTTGCAGGTTTGACCCCAGATGTGGAGCATGCAGGAGGCAGCCCATCAATGATTCTCATCGTTGATGTTTCTCTCTCTCTCTCTCTGAACACAATAAGAAGAAAAAAAAAAAGAAAAAAGAAAAACTTTAGAAAAACACACCTCCCTATTTTTATCACTTTGAGTAGAATGAGAACGCTCATTTTAAGCCACAGGATTAGGACGTGGGTCCACGAACCAGCTGTATTCTCTTGGTCTCAGCACACACAGACTTAATTGAAGTGGCTGACAGCTAATATAACTGCAATTAAATCTTCCATTGCTGACTAATTGGGGCAACCATTTTTTAAAAAGGCATAGAGAACATCAACCAAAAAACTTGATGCATTGTACTGTAGTAAAATTAAAAACCTTTGCTCGTTAAATAAGGAAACAACATAATGACACAGCAAAAAGGCAGGCCACAGAGTGGAAGTTATTTGCTACACTTGAAAAGCGGTTCATAGCCAGAATATATAAAGATGTCTGGCAAATCAATAAGGAAAAGGCAGGCAACAAATTTTTTTAACTGGCAAAAAAAACCTAGATAGATACTTTACAAAAGAAGATGTCCAAATAAATAATAAACTCATGGAAAATGCTCAATATCATTAGTCATCAGAAAAATGCACATTAAAATCATACACTGCACATGTACCAAAAAGGCTACAGGGAAAAACACAGAAAACACCTACTCTTGAGGAACAACCACAGCTCTCACCCTGGGAGTGTGATGTGGCCTAGCTACTTCGGTAAAGTAAGGTTGCATATTTTGTGACCCAGCAATTCCCCTCCTAGGTGTATTCCAAACAAATATGTGTATATATGTGCACCAGAAGAAATGTACCAAAAGTGTCAACATTCATAGCATTTGTAAGAGGTCCAAACTAGAAACAACCCAAGTCCATGAATAAAATGGGTAAAGATGGAATAGTATACAATAATGAGAACCAACTGCAACTTTACAACAGTTATGAATCTTACAATCCACCTGAGTAAAAGAAGCCAGACACATCACTTCTGGGCCTTTTGGCTAAGATCAAGTGTAGTATCTGTTCTATCAGTTTAATGCCTGATACATCCTCTCTCTGAGGACCTTATAGTAAAAGTATTTTGGAATAGGGAGATGGTATAGAAGCTTGCTCCATCCCCTCCAAGCATCATCCTGGTATTGTAGTACCTCCAGAACAGTGCATACACAAAACAAGGAGGAGGAGGAGACAGACACAAAGAATACATACTATACCCATTTATATGAAGTAAAAAAAAAAAAAAAAAAAAAAAAATCAGGTGAAAACCTATGGAAGTCAACTTGGGAGTAATGACTAGAAATGAACTAGAGGGAGTTTCTGTGATTCTGGAAACATTTATCTGCGTGCAGTTTACTTAGTGAAAAATCACTAAGGTATACACTGAAGGTTTATTGTATATTAAAATTCACGCTAAAATATCATATAAAAATATAAAATACCTGCCATGAAAAACTCTTTGGGGTTCATTGGACTCAAATGCACAATCATGTTTAATAGCCATTGCTGACAGGGGCCTCTCGTGCCCTTTGCATTTATGGGAAAGCCACAGACGGAGCTGCCAGCTTCCTGCTCTATGTTCCTGCTGGCTAAGCAGGACCCATCTAAAGCAGTTCCTGGAATCCATTCTCAATAAGTCGCCAACTCTGGGGATTCTAGCGGTAAAGAAAATGACCTACCCCAGCCCTGGTTTGGTTTTTTTTCTTTCCCCTTGAACTATGAAGCTCTTCTGCTTCTGCTGGAACTACATGGAGTCTCTTGTTTAAGCAGTTGTCAGCTCCCCTCGCCTCTCGAGTATCAGAACTGATTCTTAGAGTCCTAAAAGACTTGAGAAACTAAGCTTTTCCTCTGACATTCTCAACATTTCCTTAGCTAAACCACATTTTCTCCAAAAGCAGTCCAGTCCACAGAAATCTAATCCTGCCACCAGTCTGGGTTCAACAGTTGCATTATCAGTCACACAGAAGTTTTAGCTTAATGCTTTTGAATAATTAGATAATCCATTTGAGTGGTTTACCCTGAATAATGAAACATTTTGCAGTCTCCATCTCTTGACAAGCAGAAACTTCTTACAGATTTAAAGCAGAAGGTGGGATTTTATCTGCTTCTATTCATCAAGCAGTAAAAAATAAATTTAAAAAATAAAAGTAATGATTAAAGTCTCTCAGTAATTTCATATCCAAGATATTATCTTATTATGCTCCCAGAGGATCTGTATAAAGATATTTACTACAGCATTGATTGTAAAAGCAAAGAATGGAAACACACTAGAAGTTTAGGGAAAATGGTTCAATTAATTACAGCACAGCCTTGTGGCAGACATTTAAAAGTACGAGGTAGATCTCTTAATAAAAACAGACCTTCGTAGTATTTTAAGTAATAAAAGTAAGGTGCAGAACTGTATATAGAGTATTCTACCAACCAATTTCTTTTAATTTTATATTATTATCAATTTTGTTTCCGTGGAAGTTGACTGCTGGACTAGGAGTTTGGGGTGAAAGGGAGACTTTATTATTCATCTCTGTACATTTCTCCAAATCACTACTATTGACTCTGGGCAGGTATAACTTTTTTTTTTTTTTTTTTCAAGAAAACTAGATAATTTTGAATAATGATAAAATCAGAGGGTGAGTTTTACTCGAGATACCCTACTCACACCTGCCCCGGTTGGGGTGCTCTGAGGACATAGTTTAAGAACTCTAATGTGATCTTTTCATTATCTTGACTTTATTACACCTGGTAGGCACATAGAGCTGAGACTCATATTCAGATAAATCAACACACACACACACACACACACACACTCCTGACATCCAAAGAGGAGAAAACACAAAGGAAGACTGTTTTTCCAGCGCTCCTGCTCCATGCCATGCTTACCACTGTGGACTTCCAGGTATACCGGGTCACTTGGCATGGAGGCACCTCTCTGGCACCGGTATTCACCAATATCATTGGCACTGGCGGCAGGGATGCTGTAGCTGGCAGCCCGGGTCTCAATGGCTGTGCCATTGAGAAACCACTGTGTAGAGTTGTCCCCCGGCAGGTGGGGTCCCTCACACCGAAAGATTACATTTTCCTCCAAGAACACACTGACCCATGGGGGCTCCAAAGTGATCACGGACTTGGCAGTGTCTGCTTATAGGGAGGGGGGTGAGGAGAGTAAAATAAAATAAAATAAAATAAAATAAAATAAAATAAAATAAAATAATAAAATAAAATAAAGCAAACAAGTGGAGTGAAAGGAGAGGCTCTGAATCCCTGATGAGGTTTTCTGGAGAGCACAGGAAAACTATGTATATTCAGATTACATTGTAAAATAGGCAGGCGAAACCCGACAAAAGCTAGCTGTTAGGAATGTCCAAGCCTCGCTGCAGAGGGATCTGTTCATGCTATGAAATCTGGGTGTTGCTGATTTGGGGTTCCTGAGGATTAAGTGACCAATTTAGGTGTCACTGATGGTAAACAATAAAACAGGGTTTTCAGCTGGTGCAACTAGATTGGAGCCGGTTTGCTCTATTGTCTCGGAGGGCTCATTTCAAGCCTTAAGTCAGCATCTGTATTGGAAATCCAGGTTTACACCCCCCACTTCGAAGCCTCTAGGGCAGCGCTTCTCAACCTGTGGGTCGTGACCCCTTTGGGGGTCAAACGACCCTTTCACAGGAGTCGCCTAAGACATCCTGCGTATCAGATATTTATATTACGATTCATAACAGCAGCAAAATGACAGTTATAAAGTAGCAACGAAAATAATTTTATGGTTGGGGGTCACCACAACATGAGGAACTGTCTTAAAGGACCGAGGCATTAGGAAGGTTAAGAACCACTGCCTAGTGCCTGCTTGATTCTCTCTGAGAAGAAGAAGAAGAAGAAAAAGAAGAAAAACAAAACCTCTGCTTTCTCGTAAAAGGGACTAGTTTGGGGAACATTTATGTTAGCAATTTTGGCCCTTTTCTGCTCTGTAGGCATTTAGTCCAGAGGTCAGAGCTCATTTAGAAAATCTTAGAGAGAAACCTTACGAACCAGGATTTTATCAAAATCATACTCTGAATAGTGGGGACTTCATATAACCTATAAGGCTCCTTTCTATCCTCTCTCCATTCTCTCTTCTTTAGGATAATGGAACCTATCTTTTGGAAGCAGAAATGTGCCCGAGGAAGAGAAGTTGAGTTAGACATTACTCACATGTTTGCCCACAAGCAGCTGGAACTGTAAGAGACCAAAACAATGGAGATATCATCAGTTCATCAGCAGGTGACGGCAACGAAGGGAGATTGAGACAGACAGATTTAACATAGACTCCAAGGGGTCAGCTTAGGTTTCTTTTGTTTCTCTCCACTTCCTTTCCCAAAATCAGGTACCGGATGGTCCTGAACAGTCAACAGGTGGTTATTGATGGGGCTTTATTCTGAAATGATGCCTCCTGGCTTAATGTTACCTCAGAGTCTCTCTTCCCATCCTTTGGATAGAATAAACACCAAGAAACTGTGGAAGCACAGACATAGCAGTCTCCATATTCATGAGTTCTAGCTAGGATACTAAAGAAAGTAAGCAAAATCCTGAGCCCCGCCCTAGCTGGTTTTGGTCAGTGGATAGAATGTCGGCGGGCAGACTGATGAGTCTTAAATTCAATTCTGGTCAAGGGCACATTCCTGGTGTACGGACTCAATCCCCTGTGGGGGCATGCAGGAGGTAGCCAATCAATGATTCTCTCTCATCATTGATGTTTCTCTCTCTCTCCCTCTCCCTTCCTCTCTGAAATCAACAAAAGTATATATATATTTTTTCAAATCCCAAATTCCCTTAGCCAGTGCCTGTACCCTCTAGTTACCCTTTCTAAGCCCAACTTACCCCAAAGGAGCAGAGCTGTTAGGAGCCACATGTTATCCCCAAGGTGGTGGGAGCAGTGGGGAACTGTAACATGTGAGGCTCCGGAGAGTCTCTACTGAAAGATCTGGAGCCCCGATTAGAAAAGAGGAAGGAAATTACTTCTTCTGACCATTTTCATCATGTTCCTTTTCTGGGAAATACATCCAGAATTCTTGACGCACGCTCTCCTCTTTTTCACACTTCTTAACCTATCTTCCCGAGTTAGAAAGTCTGGGTTTAGGGCTCATGAAGCTCTAAGAATCTGAGGGGAGGTCTAATGTTTTATTGACATTCTATTCTGATTACATTCTCCTTCTACTAATTATGTTACTTGGAGGCTAGGATATGGCAAATCCCCATTTTTAGAATTGGTTCAAAGCCTGGCTAATCCCTCCAAACGTCGACCAGGGCGGGCACTTTCTCTAAGTGGGCCTCCTTGTTGTCTAAGGGGAGGTACTCCAAGCACCTCCAGAGGCTGCTGCCTCCCGAGTTTGCAAACTGTTTACCTGCCTGCATGAAGTCTCTCCTTTTGCTGCGCCCTAAGCTGGGGACTCCTGTTGGCATTGGGCTGGTAGCAGTGACCTTTGGTTGACAGGCTTTCTAGGACATCTTAATCTGTGGTTGGTAGTGCATGTCTCCCTAACTTACCCATCTTCAGGAGTATCATAGTCATTCTTGTGTTTCTGCTCATTTAAAAATATTTGTTGGGCCCTAACTAGTTAGGCTCAGTGGATTGAGCATCGGCCTGCGAACTGAGGGGTCCCACGTTCGATTCTGATTGCAGGCACATCTCCAGTAAGGGGTGTGCAGGAGGCAGCTGATCGGTGTTTATCTCTCATTGATGTTTCTAACTCTCTTTCCCTCTCCCTTCCTCTCCATAAAAAATCAATAAAATATATTTAAATATATATATATATATATATATATATATATATATATATATATATTTGTTGGGCTTTGAATTAGAATAACATTAAATATGTAAATTAACTTGGGGAAGGTTTGTATCTTTCTGTCATTGAGTTTTTTAAACCATAAATTTGGTATATCTAATCAATTTTTTGGTGTTCCTTTCATAGCATTCATAAGTTGCATAGTCTTCTCCATATATGTTTTGGACAGATCTTATGGGATTTCTTCTTAGAGGGGTGTGTGTGTGTGTGTGTGTGTGTGTGTGTGCATCTTTGCTAATTCAAATGGTAATTTAAAATTTATAATTTCTAAATGTCTGCTTATGGTGTAATGGAAATACAGTTGACTTAGGGAGCAATGATTTTATATCCAGATTAGAGGCCCCATGCATGAAATTTGTGCCGGAAGGGGGTGGGGGGGACGGGGGCGGCCTTAGCCCAGCCTGCACCCTGGTGATCAGTGCACATCATAGCGACCAGTTGTTCCACTGTTAGGTCGATTTGCATATTAGCCTTTTATTATATAGGATACTTAAAATGTTTTTCAGATTATTTATTTGTAGATTTTTAGGTCTTTTTTGTAGACATTCATATTATCTTTAATTATTATAGAGCTTTATTTCTTCCTTTCCAGTACATATATGACTATTTCTGTAGGATTTTGGAAGACACATTTTTTTTAGAAAATGATGCTTTCTAAGTTTGCTTAATCATTTCACTGAATGCTTTTTCTCTAAAAATTGAGAAGATACTTTTTCTCCTTAAATCTGTTGTGGCTAATTATATGTATGAATTTTCTGCTGTTTGTTAAAAAGAACTTACATTTCTGAGTAAATCTAATTTTATCATGATTTATTAGAAAATTTTCAGTGCTGATGGATTTGACTTGTAATTGTTTTGTATTTAATATTTCTGCACTTATACTTATTAATATCATAAATTTCACCAGAAGTTTGTCAATGCTATTAGCCTTTTCAAAGAACCAACTTTAAACTTTGTAGATTATATGTATTGTATCTTGGGTTTTATATCTTAATTATTTTGCTCTTATCTTTATTATTTTCTTTTTCCTTTCTTTGAATTTTTCCTATTTTTTTTCTAATTTTAAGTTTCATGCTTAGATGATCAATTTTAGCCTTTGCTCACTTTTAATATAAGAGTTTCTTTTTTATTCTAAGTATTATTTTAGCCAAACCCATAAATCTGGATTTATAATGTCTCAATCATCGGTTATTGATAAATGTTTTAAATATTCTTGACTTTTTTAATTGTTTTTTTCTATTTTTGCATTTTTTTCTTTTTTCCATTTTCCTCTTCTTGTCATTTATAATTTTTACACACTATTTCTATTCTTAGTGATTCTGCTTTTTTATATAAGAAATTATAAAGATAATCATTAAGATAAAATAGAGGAGAATCCTTTCACCAATTACATGCTCTAGGCAGTGGCAACAGAATATTACCACAAGTTCATGGCTGTGGAATCTTATTGTATAGAATGTTTTCTGTACCTCTATTTTATCACCTTTTCCCTCAAACTATTTCAACTTACGGCAAATCTATCTATAAATATGCTGACGATCTGCACACTATCAATCCTTTCAACATCGGACAGATATGCAAAATAATAATAATAATAATAATAATAATAATAACAATAACCTCCTTTAAAAAACATAACACAGAATTTCTCTAAGAACTTTACTTTTGCTGATATAGCTCTGTCCCTCAATATTCTGAGGAATTGATGATGAAAAGGGTGGTGATATTTCCTTTGCAATAACCAATGAGAGGAGGCATAGTGGAGAGCTGGAAAGGAAATGCTGTTGTAAGTAAAATGGACAATTTGAAGAACATTTTACAATGCAATACTATGTGTCAGCTGGAAGCTTCCACTCTTGTGACTCAGTTGAGTGCTTCTCCCTACACTTCCTCCAGCACAATCCAGTCAATAAGTAACCTTCACTCTTGTGGTCAAGGTTTGTGGAAGTCAGACCAGTTTTTCTGGACTTGGAAAAGCTCTTAGCTCACAGGACTACTAGAGTTGGGTGGGTGTGGATTGATGGGCTCAGCAATATTTTGTCCTGGGAAAAGCTATTTGAATGAAAATCTTATACTTGTGAGAATCATAAGAATCACATAAGTGGCCTTAATCCTGGCAACTTTTTGCACAATGGCTTTGCTTTTATGTTTGTCCCCAGCCTACTTAGATAAGGTTGCCTTTTACTCATAGCGTAACTTGTTTTCTGCCACCACAACTTAATTTCTCTTCCTGAAATAGCCTAGTCTAGGCTGATTCTTAGCAGGAAGTGAAAACAAAACTTATCTTATAGGCAGAACAACAAAAATTTAAGTAGAGTCAGTTATCTAAACGGGGCTGGAATATTCCAACATTTTACCTAGAACACCTTACTATTATCTCGATTTTATCTTTGAGAAATAAAACTAAACAAGGTCTAACTTGATGATAGTCAGAAAGTTAGTTAATAGTGCAGAGACATAAAGTAGACCCAAGTCTGGTTTTGTGCAGTAGTGATATGATAACTATAGGATTTCATAGAAACAGAATGATTGCTAATTGAGTATGCTTCCCTCTGCCCTGCGACTCAGGAGTCTTTTCTCAGGCAATTAGCAGCTTTATCATGTGCAAGGGAAAGCAGCTGAAATTTAGTCAGTGCCAGGTTCTTTCTGGGGGGAAATTTGTTCCTGGCAAGTGTTAACGATTAAAAAAATAATAATAATAAAAATAAATAAATAAATAAATGAATTTGAAACCTATAAAGAATTTTAGTGAGTTTATTTGAGCCAAATTGTCAACATACCCGGGAAGCAGAACCTCAATAAATTGAGATAATGCTCCAAAGAATGGCGGGTTACATTTCTATTTATACATTGCAATCAAAGGAGGGACATAGGTGGGTTACATGAAATTCATTGGTGATGGATTAAGGAGGCGGGATAAAGCAAAGCGGTGGGAAACCCCTAGGATTGGATAAAAAGTAAAATGATGGACACATACTTAGGTGAGTGGAGAAACAATTAACATGTTAAAGAAGGAATTTGAGGCTTTGGTCCTGGCGCCCACCACATTTGGTTGTGCCCCAGGGGCTCCAGAAAAAGGGAAGTTACAAGTTAACCAGACATCTCACAGATATGTTATCTTAGAGACAAAAAAGTCAAATGGAAAAAAAAAAAAGAAAAAAAAAAAGTCAAATGGGCTCAGTAAAGAAGATCTAAGCTGATCTTTGTCAGGGAAAATATCTTAAGACAGTGTTTTTCAACCTTTTTTGGGCAAAGGCACACTTGTTTCATGAAAAAAATCACGAGGCACACCACCATTAGAAAATGTTAAAAAATTTAACTCTGTGCCTATATTGACTATATATAAAGTAATTCTCTTGAGTAGGAATCAAATAAACACAAAGAAAGTATTTTATAATTACTTTATTATGAAATATTAAGTAAACAAAATAGTGAAAAATTATAAAATTCTTGTCTTGTCTGCACCTACGGCACACCAGGCAACATCTCCGCGAACAGCGGTTGAAAAACGCTGGCTTAGGACATGACTACCCACTATATCCTGTTTGTAGTTTAAATATTTAATTTTCAAACCATCTTTTGTGGGTATTTTAGGTCTCTGAGTTTGCAAGACTGCCACGCAAGACTGCCACGCAGGCCTCCCCTGAGCTTGCCAGGTTAGGCTCCTTTTGTTCACAAAATAGAGGTGTAGTGAGAGGGAAGAAATACGCATTTATACACAGTGGCTTAGCACTTGGAAGGGGTAGTACGTGCTCTCTTTATCTTCTGACTTTTCAGAGGGTGCGCACAGACTTTTTGTAGTCAAAAGGAACAAATTTTCTCTACAACTACAGTTTAGCATATCCGACTAGAACTCAATAAGGCCCTGCTCAAGAGAGCATTTCCAGACTGGATCCTCTGACCTTCCTCCTTCTCACCTGGCTCCATGAGGATGCTGTAACACAGGTGTAATGCATGGTTTATGTCTTGGAAGGAGGGAAGGTACCTGTGTTTGTGCCCGTTGCTAAGACACAAAGGCCTGAATAGAATCCCTTTTCGTAGCAGTCTAAGTAAGAGGATGACAAACACCAACCCAAGGAGCACTGAGGTGGTTCCTAAGACATAACCATATCTTTTCCCATCCTACCACTCACTTATATTGTAGATTCAAGTGTTGGTATTTTTGATCTTAGAAACATTGCAGTCCCCAACATGACCCAGACTTTAGTCTCTACAGTTTCAAAAACTATGGTCTATGAGACTAGATGAAACAAACGAGATTAGAGGTCTAAGAGTTTAAGAATTTCCTGAGATCATATCATTATTCTCCTGGCTTTCGTTAGAAATATGGTTATCTGAGCTCAAACAGAGGGCATTTGGCTCAGTTTAGAAAATTCACAAGGGGCCCGGCCAAGGGGGCTCAGTAATTGAGCATCAACCTATGAGCTAGGAGGTCAGGGTTCGATTCCCAGTCAGGGCACATGTCCAGGTTGCAGGCTCAATCCCCAGTGTGGGGCCTGCAGGAGGCAGCCAATGATTCTCTCTCATCATTGATGTTTCTATCTTTCTTCTCCCTTCCTCTCTGAAATAAATCAAAATATATTTAAAAAGAAGAAGAAAACTCAGATGGGGAAAGACCATTTCCTATATCAGATTTTTAAGGACCCTCATTTTCACAAGCCCAGGGTACAGAGATAATAATCATACCTGTGGCTCTTGAGTCCACTTAATTCCTTATTGCCACTTATAACTCAAACTGAAAACAGAGGGGGAAAAGCAGTGGTGTGACCTGAGCTTTCACAGAACTGAAAAGAGAAGCAATGGGTCTATCATTGCTCTTTTCTCTACCCCCCATACTTGCCGATTGCTAATATTAGTACTACTTGTGTGTGGTCTTTCATCTATTCTAGGTTTGGCTGCTGTGAGGGGCATGAGAATTTGCCTTGTAGACCTTCCTAATAAGTGGAGCTTAATTGACTTGAGGGCCGCAGCTGCAATGCTTTAAAATCTATCTCTAAGGTCATCCCTCCCATGGGCAGCTCCCTACCAATAGCAGAGCACACAGTGGGGAAGCTAAGAAAGACCCATTCCTGAGAGACACAGGACTCTTTATTGGATGAACTGGCATTGCTAATCAATGCCACCGGTCCGAAGCCTGGGATGGTCGGCGTCCACACTATGGGTTTGGGGTGGGGGCGGGGGTGGAGGGGTAGCCGCAGGAGTGGGGGTAGACTCAGTTGCATTATTTGTAACCCCACAATGATGGACACTAATTTAAAAAGTATAAGGAAAAGTGCTTTTTTAAATTATATTCTTACATACAAATGAAGCTTTCCGGATCCCAGGACCTGTTTTACTAAAACCTTGGCTGAGGATCTCCTGTTGTGCAAGAGACACAGAAGACAAGTGGCTCCTCTGGAGGTAATGGATGAGAGAAAGTGTGGTGAGGAGCCAGCAAGGATTAACCTCAGCCCCTTAAGAATAACAAAGACGTCCCTGGGTGGGCTCGAACCACCAACCTTTCGGTTAACAGCCGAACGCGCTAACCGATTGCGCCACAGAGACCCATGGGGAGAGGGTTCGCATGGTAAGGAACATAGTCAGGCTCTCAGACACCGCTAGGTGGAGCCACCCCTGTTATGGGACAGATGTCCGTGCAGACGCAGAAACCGCTGAAAACGAGACGACAGGTGGAGCCCACGGGCACGCTGGCCGCTGGGCCTCACTCCACTTCTGCTTCAGACGCGCGGGGTGGTCGGGGGGACGCCCCGGGGGAAGGAAACCAGACCACAGAGCGAGGAGGAGCTCACACAGTTCCGTCCTGGAAAGGCAGAATCCTGGTGGCCCCTCAGTTCCTGTTTCCAATTGCACTCATGTCCTTGCTGCTCTTTGTTTAGTGTGTTGTTGTTTTTATCTCACAAACCAGCTTCTATTCTGAAAATATTTTTGTAATATAGTCGTGGATTTTTCTCACTGATCTGTGACTTTCCCCTGTACAGCCAGAACCACCACCGGCTGCCAGGGAGCTGAGATGCAGAGAGAGCCAGGGCTCAGCTTTTGACTTCCAAAATAAGCTCCCATAGCTACTTTCAGAGGCGACTGATGTGAATGAAGCTTTTTTTTTTTTTTTTTTTTTTTTTTTTTTAGGAGGAAAATATTTTCTTAGAAATAAAAAATCAAGGACCTAAAGAAGGTCAGATAGATTTAAAAAAAAAAAAAAAAAAGGAAAACCTGTCCATATAAATAGATTTAAGAAATAATAAAAAATGTTGTGCTGAAACTGGTTTGGCTAAGTGGATAGAGCATCAGCCTGCAGACTGAAAGGTCCTGGGTTCGATTCCTGTTAAAGGGCATGTACCTTGGTTGAGGGCACACCCCCAGCGGGGGGTGGGCAAGAGGCAGCTGATCGATTATTCTCTCTCATCGATGTTTCTAACTCTCTCGCTCCCTCTCTCTTCCTCTCTGTAAAAAATAAAAAATAAAAAAAATCAATAAAATATATTTAAATTTTTTTTTGTTATTTAATATATCTATGTCTCAGCTTCTCCAAATTAAGATAATAGTAGGAGTGACCACATACTGGCTTTGTTAGTATTAAATGATCCAACTATTGAAAGTGCTTACAGCAGTGCCTCCTAACTGGGTCTGTTGGGAAGACATGGAGGTGACAAGACATGGTCCCTGGCTTGGTGGAGGACGCAGACAGTAGCCCCACCACGGAGCAGCGGGACACCCCCCCACAGGGAGCTCAGGCCCCGGGAGGGCAGGAAGGCCCAGAGGGAAGTGGATGGGGGCCCAGCTGAGTCCCCAAAGGCAAATGTTGGCAGACGGGAAAGTGTGAAGGGATGGTGATGGGGCCCCGTTTCCAGGAAAGAGCTCCTTCCTGGGTGTGCCCAACAGATCCGAGCAGGCCCGGCCCAGGCTGGCGAAATCAGGACAGTCAGGCGGCCGTGAAGAAATCCCCCAGGAAGGCAAGGAGGACGAGGCCGAGGTGCCCCTTAGTCCTCAGTGGCCTGTGAAACCCTGTGGAGAGCGGCTACAGCGTTTGGGCAGGTTCAAGCCATGGGCTAATGAGAGGGCGCAGTCCTCCCATGGCCACATGCAAGTCCCAGCCTGGAGGCCACAGCCCTCCCAGCACAGTGATAGCCACCAGCTGGAGTTGTCAGCTGGAACCTATGGTCCGGACACGTGGCCCCACGTGCCTGAGTGACGTGGGCTTGATAGAGTTCAGGTGCATGCTATTGAGTAGGATCGAAACCCATGAGAATGCTGTAACCATCTTGTCCATGCCCTTCCTTACTTTGCCTCGTGGCATCTGGCTATAAAATAAGGACACGGCGTGTGGTCTGTGGCGCTGTCTCTCTCCACCAGAGAGGTCAGCATCCCATCCAGCCGCAGCTTCACTCTCTTGAATGTCTTTTCTAACTCCTGCATGGCCCCCCACTCAGGTTAACCCTTGGCCGCATTGGCACGGCACAAAACCCAACAGAATCCCCCTGAGCCCTCAGAGGGATGGCCTGGGTCTCTGGACATGAGGACTCAGCCCACAGAGATTCCAAGCAGATTCCTGTATTCCTCTCTCCAACACAGCTGACCACCCACTGTGTGCTGGCCCAGCTGACCACTCACTGTGTGCTGACACTGGGCGGGTGGGAAGGCATGTCCCTGGCTTGGTGGAGGACACAGACAGCAACCCCACCACGGAGCAGCGGGACACACACCCCCACAGGGAGGTCAGGCCCCGGGAGGGCAGGAAGGCCCAGAGGGAAGTGGGTGGGGGCCCAGCTGAGTCCCCAAAGGCGAGTGTGGAAGGGGTGGCGATGGGGCCCCACCAGGGAGGGAGCAGCAGGGAAAAATCCCCTTCAGAGCTTGGCTGACCAGACACAAAGGTCCCCAGGGAAATCCCCTTCAGAGCTTGGCTGACCAGACACAAAGGTCCCCACTCAGCCGCAGGGCACTTTTGCCCTCTGTGACACAGACCCAGCAGGAAAGAGAGCATCCAGGGCCCTTAAATGACACCTCACCCCCCTCCCAGCCCCCCAACCACCTGCCTGGGGGAGCAATGAGGGTGACCGCTCATCGTCCCCTTAAAACCCACTGTTTCTACCACAGTAAGTAGGACGTGGTTCCCAGACGATCCTCAGAGAGAAACCCACCAAGAGGAGCCCTCGGGGGGCCTGAGGCAGAGGAGCCCCTCCCAGAGGGATTCTGGGTCCGATTCCTGAGCTCCGGGGACAGAAAGAAACACAGACAACACAGACAGGGCAGGGCAGTCTCAGCCGGGAGGGGTCAGGGGCCAGGGAGGACTCGGGTCCGTGAGTCACAGGTAGCCCTGAGCTGGAGTAACGCCATGTCTATCATTATGTTTTATTAGTAAAACCAGACCCAGCCCTCTGTCCTCCAGGAAGACTTCCCTGATTGACAGTCATCGCCCTTCCCCTCACAGGCTGGCTGGCTGGCTGCCCTGCTCCCCTAGTAGAGGCCGTGCTGGGCGCAGTAGCGGGCGCACAGCTGCCGGTGGTACTGCAGGTGGTAGTCCCTCAGCAGCCGGCCCAGCACGTACAGGAACTCGTCAAAGCAGATCTGGTTGTCCTTGTCCTTGTCCGCCGCCCGGAACAGCTCGGAGACGAAGTACGGCTTCCTCCGGCCCTGAGGAGGGCATGGGGTCAGCCGGCACCCAGGCACGGGCCCTGGCAGAGTTTCCGGCTCCACCGCCCGAGGGGAAGAAACGGCGGGGAAACTGGGTGTGGCCCTAGGGGCACAGGGGGCCGGGCACCTGGACCCGGGCCGCAGGGGGCAGAAGGAGGGAGCAGCCTGGGTGCTGGTGGCTGGCTGACCGGCTGGTGGCTGAGCAGGGCCGGGCGCCTGGCCCTCTGCTGGTGGCTTCTGAGTGTCTCCCCCGCTGAGCACCCGCCCCGCAGGGCCGCCCAGCTTGGGGCTGCGCACGGGGAGTTGCCCGAGGCACCGCCAACTGCCCCTCAGGTCTGCATCTCTAGCACCACTGCAGGGCCGGCACCCAGTGGGCCAGGTTTCCGCAGGGGGTGCCACCCGCCCAGGATTGATCATGGCCACTGGCCTGTGTCCTAAGGAAAGTGCAGGATGGGGGAGGCCAAGGCCATGGGCCCTGGGCTGTCCGGTGTCCCAGAGCACTGGCCCTGAGGGCTAAGGCTGGGGGTGGCCAAGGAGAGCAAAGGAGCATTCAGGCGGCAGGGACGGCAGGGAGGAAGTCAGGTCAGAGTGCATGAGGAGACAGGACAGGCCACGAGGAGGGAGCCCCCACAGAGCGGGCTGACCCCACGGTGCCCAGGCCCCCTGCCCGGGCAGCTCTCCCAGGCTTCCCTCTCGCAGCCCCCCTGGCCCAGCTGCCATCTCCACCCTGTGCCCAGGTGCCGGCTCTGTGGGCCCCGTGCCCAGGTGACAAGGTTTCCCTAGAAACAGGGGACCAATCACAGTCACCAGCCCCCCCTCCGTGACCTGGGGGCTGCACTCCAATAAGCCCAGGACCAGACTCTCCTCTGATTCTCCCCAAAGGGAGGCAGGGGGCCTGCAGGGACTAGGGGGCTAGTCCTGGAGGCAGCAGTCTTGGGTCACCCGGGGGCCTGGCACCGCAGGCACCAAGGGCAGACACTCGGGTTGGCCTTGCCGTCCCCAGGGAGCCGGGTAACCACATGGCTGGTCCTGATGACAGAGAAGATTCCAGGCCTGAGCAGGTGGCTGAGCAGCCTAAGGTCAGGGCTGGGCCCCTGGGCTGGGCTGAGACTCGGCCTGGGACATGATGGGGAGGGGAACCTCCATTTCCTACCTGCCCACACGTAGTCCCTCCTGGCTTCCCCTTAGCCCAGCTGTCCTCCCCAGCATGGGGGCGGGTAGGAGGGGGCTGTGCTAGACCCCAGGAGAAGGTGGGGCAGGGCCCAGGGGCAGAGGGAGGGCTTAGGACCTGTTCTCAGGGGAAGCAAAACAAGCGGAGCCCCACCGGCTTTGGGGTTAGGATGGGCTGCAGGGGTTAGTGATGCTTGGGCTGGAGCCGGGCCAGTCAGGGAGTTTCGGGAGGAAAAGCCAGAGCCGTCCTCCCTATGGCCGCTGATCCTGCCTCAGCTCTCCCCCGCCCCCTCCCGCCTAAGTTCCAGTACTTTTGGGAGGTGCTTCTTATACAAAACCCTCACATCAAACCCCACAACCCGCCCGCTACCCACCCCACCTGCCCCCGGCCCCGCACCAGGCTCTCCATGAAGCGGGGCACGTTGTCCATGAGCAGGGCCCTCAGCTCCTCCAGGGACAGGGTCTCCACGTCCCCCTCCCGGGCCGCGTACTGATGGTAGCTGCGGATGATCTGGAAGAGGGATTCCTCCACCGGCGTGTCCGTCATGGCAGCGGGACAAGGGCCAAGTCCAGAGATGTGGAGGTGGAGCAGCTGGGGACAGTGGAGAATCTGGGAAGGGAGAGCAGCTCCTCCTCGGGGCCAGATCCTCTGCCCTTTGCTTCCTGCCGCCCTGGTCTCAGGGCCCCTCCCTGTCCATCCTCGGGGCCTCCAATCATGGTGACTGGTGTTGTGACGCCTCACAGGTCCTTCAGGAGCACAGCGGAGCCTTCATTGCATTCCTGAGATGACATCACAGGCACGTGCTCCCCAAGATTAACTCAGCCAGTTAAGGGACCCAACTGCCCTCAGAGCCTGATCTGAAGCATCTCAGACTCACACAAGGTCACAAGGTCATCCATCTCCCTGTCTCCCAGGTCATCCTCCCAGCTCATCCTCCCAGCTCACCCTCCCAGCTCATCCTCCCAGCTCATCCTCCCAGTTCACCCTCCCAGTTCATCCTCCCAGCTCACCCTCCCAATTCACCCTCCCAGCTCATCCTCCCAGCTCACCCTCCCAGCTCACCCTCCCAGCTCCAAGCTTGGGTGGGGCTACACACACAACTCCAATGCATCCCCCTGGCATGTCCTCCCTCAGTCAGTGAACCCCAAACTCCACAGTGAATGAAGGACATTCACTCATCCAGCAACTATTTCTCGAGGCCCTGCCGTGTGCCAGGACCCTCCAGGCCACATGGTGGGACACGCGGCCAGCTCACAGGGCGGGAAGGAGCGGAGGGGACAGTCACACACGGTGAACACTGCTAATTTAGTGGCACAACAGGTACCCTGGGCACCCAGGAAGGGACTCTGTCTGCCTGGGTTGCTGAGGAAGACCTCCTCAGGAGGCAGCTTTTCAGGTGGGAGTGAAGAAAAGATGCTGTTGCAGGTGAAGCATGGAGACCAGCTCTCCAGACGGAGGGAACCGCATGGTCAAAGGCCTGGTTGGCCTCCAAACAGCTACTACCTGGGCCTTTGAGTGGCAGGTGAACTCCTCCCCCATCTCCAGCTTCCAGCCAGCCCGCCCTTCTGTCCCTGCCCTGCCTCGCAGCGGGTGAGTGAGTCTCCCAGACGGGGGCGCCAAAGGGCAGGTTATTGAACCCGAGGTTAAGCCTCCACATCCCTGAAGGTTTGAGAGAAATAGGTAAAGGCTGAAGCCAAACTTCTTCCAGTTTACAGGGTGAGCCTTCTTCTATCCAACATTATGATTTCCTCAGCAAATAAGTGGTTCACCCATACACTGAAATAAAATAAAAATGGCTCACGTGTCTAAGAGGTAAAACAATTTGCAATGCCACTGAGAATTTATTGAATACTTTAGATTCAGCCATCATTCCCCTGGGAATTTATCCCAAGAAAGTAATTAAACAGCAATAAATTTGGTTAAAAAAAAAGAACCAAATAGGAATTTACCACAGCAATGTCTAGAGCCCTACAGGGAAAATAAAAACCTAGAAACCGTGTTGGCTCCGTGTCTGCCTAGTGGCTCACGGTTTGATTCCGGTCAGGGCACATGCGTGGGTTGCAGGCTTGAACCCCAGTAAGGAGCATGCAGGAGGCAGCCAATGAATGATTCTCTCTCATCACTGATGTTTCTCTCTCTCCCTCTCCTTTCCTCTCTGAAATCAACAAAAATATATTTTAAAACAACAACAACAACAAAAAACCTAGAAGCCACCTAATTAAGGAATTTGGTGTGCCAGTATGACCTTGGACAATTGCTAGATGATGATTTATCACTTAAAAATAACTCATTTTTGACACAGAGCTTGTTGGGGGTAGAAATTTCATATTTACCCCCTTCACTCTGCCTTTTTTTTTTTCAATTTGGGACAAAAACAACCCCCCCTCCTTTCCCCGCCCCCCACCACCACACACACACACACATACTGTCCCAATACACAGTGCTGATCTTACAGCTGTGCGGTAACTAGTCTTCTCATTAATACTGCGCTGTGGACATCTGCTCGCACACTAAGTCAATGTAGCCTGGTTTTTAACGAGTGCATAGTGATCATTTATTTGCATATGTCAGCATTTGCTCTTTAATCCATTGCCAGTAGCCATTTAAATTATGTTAGATTCATATGACTCAAGGTTAATTCTTTCTTAGCACTGACATTTCTTATTAGAGTTTATTAAATATAATTTTATTTTATCCAATATTAACATTTTATTATACTCTATTTGAAATACATTTTATTGTAACTGACTATTACAGAAACTACAGTGAAATTTTAAGACGAGCTGCAGGTGGTTCTGCCTCTTGGAGGCCAGAGAAGGCTGTGCCCAGAGCCTGCTCTGGCTCTGGAGAGGCCGCTGGAGCCGGCGTTGCCTCATGAGGTCTGTTTTGCTGTTGATCTGGAGCTGGTCCTGTAGATCCCAGAAGAGAACATGTGATCACCATGACTGCCTCGGTGTGCCTTCTAGAGACAGAAAGTCTCCCCAGTCCATCGATGGAGTCCCTGTTCAAGAACCACCCAGGAAGTCTTCCCGGACTGCAGGCCCTGGGCATGGGGATCTGAGCCGGCTCTGCCCCTGGCCTCTACTAGCTCTTCTCTGTGTGGCCGAGCCCCATCTCCTCCCCACGCACCCACATCACCCACCCCGAGTCCTCCTCACCCTCTGCCTCTGCCTCTGCGGGCTCACGGCGCTCCAGCTCCGAAAGGAGCAGCTGGGCCTGGCGCTCCAGGTCTGAGCCTGGAAAACTGAGGCGGAGGTAGGCCAGCAGCGTCCCCAGGCAGGGGAATTCTGGGGGCTGGGAGAAATCCTCAGGGCACTGGTCCAGCCACATGCCCAGGATGGCGAGGATGGCCCTGGGGAGAGACATGGCAGCAGAGTCTGAGGCCTGGCCTTTCCTTCCACACTATCCTCCAGGGTATCCCTGTGGGAGCCTGGGGTCCCTATCCTCCCCTCACGGTTCTGACCCAAAGCCCACTCACTTTTTCCGCTGGTCCACAGGCCCGCCATCCTCCTCAGCGTAGGGGAAGACGCAGCCATACCTAGAGGAGGCCAGGAGGACGTCACTTCGACTGCCCTGTGGACGCTGCCTGCCTGTGGAGTCTAGGGTGACTGTCTCTCTCCCGACTACAAGGAAGCTCTGGAAAGCGGGATTGGGGTCCGCTCTGTGCACTAGATTGTGGTCTGTGCCTAGAACATGCCTGCACCTGCCCATACATGTGCTGAGTGAAGGAGCCCCATCACAAGTATCTCATCACCGCTGCTCCCCCCTGGGGTTCCTGCTCCGGCTTCACCCAGGACAGAGAACCCTCATGAAACCTCCAATCTCCTTTCCAATGAGAAGACAGCTCAGCCCCAGGCCCCGAGGGAAGTGAGGGATGAGGCAGAGGCTTCCTCATGAGGAAGAGAAAATGACCAATTAGCACAACCACTGCCCCCTCCGCACCCCCTCCCCACACCCCCGACCAACCCCCCACCCGCAGACCTCTCCAGTGGCCAGGCACCCAGAGAGCACGTGGCAGGGAGGACCTCACAGGTTTCTATAATTATCCTATGAGTTTGCTCCTGGGCTCCCCCTGCTGTTCAGAGGAGCACACAGACTCAAGGAGAAGAGTGACCTTCTGAAGACTCACAGCCAGCAAGTTCCCGGATGCCCCCTGTGCTGTGGAGGGGCGGGTGCTCACCTTGTCAGCAGTAGGTCCAACACCTGCTGGGCGGTGGCAAAAGCTCTGTAGTTCCAGAGGAAGGCGGGCACGAAGGTGGGGTCCCTGCCCAGGACGGCAGGCACCAGGTACTCCACCAGCTGGCCCAGCCGGTGTGCCCGGGCAGTCTGCACCATACAGACTTTATTTGTGTTCCCGGTGGATGCGTTTTGCCCCTGGGGTGGGACAGAGGAGGGACATGCAGTCAAAACAGCATCATGGGGACCACCTGGTGGGTTGGCAGCTGCAGCTCAGACCAAACCCACAAGCCTTCAGTGACTGTTGGCAAGAGGGGGGACAATGCTCGCAGGAGAGAAAATGTTATTGGCATGAAAAATAGAATTTTTTCTGGTCAGTAGCTCAGTGGTTGCCCCCCTCCACACACACACCCTCCCCCAGCCATTGAAAGCTCTGGGTTCAATTTTGTTCAAGGACAGCTCCTGGGTTGCAGGTTTGTGCCCTGTGCTCCCTGTAGGTCAGGGCATGTGTGGGAGGCAACAAGTCGATGTGTCTCTCTCACGTCATTGTTTCTCTCTCCCTCCCCCTCCCTTCTTCTCTTCCACTCTCTGAAAAGCAATGATACTCAGGTGAGTATTAACAACTAAGTAGAATTGGAGGAGGGGAACAACGAAGCACCTTAGTAACTCAGGTCATATTTTGCTAGCTGAGGATGGACAGCCCGTCCCCGTAGTAACAGTCTCATCCCTGGGTTTTCTGACAAAGCCGCCAAGCTCAGATGAGAACACAGAGGCTTTTCATGGGGTGGGAGGGGTCAGGAGATAAGGGCATGTGAGATGTTCAGGACAGCATCGTTGACATGGCAACAGAAGGGGGTCACTCCAGGCCTCACAGCAGTGAAGGGTTGGATCACTGTGGCAACTGGTCCCCTCGGGGTATGATACACAGCCCTGGGAGACCCCAGCTCCTGACATGGAGGGGCCACCGGATATATTCCTCTGGGGCAGAAAGTGGCAAAGCAACAAGACCTGGTACCCTGAGCCTGTGTCCTTTTGGGGAAAAACAACCTCACTCATGATAAGGTAAGACCAAGAGAGGCATGCAAGGATTGTCAGGCCATCAGGGACACTTGGGGATGGGTGTTAAAACAAGAAAATCTATAGAAAAATGCAAAAATCCTCTTGACTGAACATGAGGTGGACTGATACAAAAGCCTCCTCTCTGATCGTCCTACAAACATGCGCACAGTGACTTTGCTCCTGGCCAGGAGGGGCTAGACAACGAGGGTGGGCTGGGGGAGAAGAGGGAAACCCAGACTCCTTTGGGAGCAGGACTCTAGGGAGGGGCTCCGGAGAGTAGCAGGGTGGCTTCTGGGACCTGGGCCCCTTTGACTACTGGGGTCCTGGAGGTAGGGTCACCAGGCCTCCTCACTCACCTTCAGACCGAGCTGCTCTCCTTTGGCAGCGTGGGGCCCCTGTGCCTCCTGTGGGGGAACCCCATCAGCCAGCTCCTGTCTGGCCTTCTGTCTGGCCTCCTGTCTGGCCTCCTCTCTGGCCTCCTCTTTGGCCTCCTGTCTGACCTCCTGTCTGGCCTCCTGTCTGGCCTCCCGTGGGGAGCTCTGTAAAGACAGTGCCCAGCCGCCGGGCGGAAAGTCTCAGAGCCCAGTCTGTGCTTCGCAGACCCTGTGTTCTTCCCACTCCAGATACATTTACCACATTCACTCACACCTCCACGGAGGACAGGAAAGACATGACAGCTGAGGGCCTAGGGTTCTCACTGGCACAGAGGAAAGGCCCCCAGAAAGCCCCTCTCCACCCTGCCAGCCCCGCGCTGGCCATGACCATGACAGCATCACTAGGAGGTGCCCCACCCTGCAACCTGCTCCTGCCCAGGGGTCCTCCCTGCAGGCCCCTCTTCCCCCACATGGAGGGGAGGGGATGGGGCTGCCCAGGGACGGCTCCCAGAGGTGGCCCGGCCTCAGCTGGGCGGACAGGCTACCTGAGGGGACCGCCTGGAGAACGGCCAGAGACGCCGGGTAGGAGGAGGGTTAAACCAGCGTCTCCAGAGTTTGGAAAAACTCCCACTGCGGGGTCTCCGCAAGCAGGAGCCCCAAGAACCGGGGATCCAGCAAGAGGACATCTTCAACTACCAAGTGTCTCTTGCCAAGTGAACTGGCTGTTGGGCTGTGGCTGCCAGGCAACAGGGGTTCTAAGTTCTTTAGGGAAGCGACCTCACTTCCTGTGATCCCCTTCCCTGAGTACCCACTTCAAATAACAGATATCCAACTAGTCCTGACTGCTCACACTCCTTCTCCATGGGATACATATCTGTCCCAACAACACCAACACGCCTTCCTCTATGGCCCCCTGGGAGGTCTGGCTGCACCCAGACCTCCCAGGGGGCCATAGAGGAAGGTGTGTTGGTGTCGTTGGGACAGATTTGAGGAGATAGACCTGGGTTCAGACTCAGCCACTCATTCTTTCTTCTTCTTGATCCTGGACAAGCCATCTTGCATGCCAGGGCCTGTCTGTCTCCTGCCTGCACAATGGATTGTGCAGCACGTATGTCTTGGCAATAACGTCCAGGCACATGTGGGATAGCAGCTGTAAAGTCGGAGGAGTGCTGTCATGTGTAAGAAGTGCCTCCTACTACCGGTTGTTGCTTTCTCTTGTCGCCTCCTCTATGTCTGCTCTTCTTAGTATCCCTCCATAGTCCTTACATCTAAGGCAGGGATGAGGAACTTTTTCCTGCCAAGGGCCATCTGGATAGTTAGAACACCATTCAAGGGCGGTACAAAATTGTCACCTTAAAAATTAGCCTGCTGTATTTGGTTAGACACTTAATTAACTCGCTCCTAATGCCTTGGCAGGGCCAGACCAAGTGATTTTTGTGGGCCTTATATGGCCCTCTGGCCGGACATCCCCCATCCTGATCTAGTGTGTGTGTGTGTGTGTGTGTGTGTGTGTGTGTGCATGTGTGCGTGTACACTCACATACATGTCAGTGCTTACTTACTGGATCCCAGAAAGAAAAGAAAAACAGTCCTCACATACGCAAGAATAGGCAAGAGCTTCCAATATGTTAGGATTTCTAATTTTATTTTATTTTATTTTTTAAAATATATTTTATTGATTTTTTACAGAGAGGAAGGGAGAGAGATAGAGAGCTAGAAACGTCGATGAGAGAGAAACATCGACCAGCCACCTTCTGCACACCCCCTACCGGGGATGTGCCCGCAACCAATGTACATGCCCTTGACCAGAATCGAACCTGGGACCTTTCAGTCTGCAGACCGACGCTCTACCACTGAGCCAAACCAGTCTCGGCGGATTTCTAATTTTCAAGCCAACCCTGTGAGACAAGTTGGAGCCTTTGCCTGGAAGGTCACAATAGTCCTGACCTCTGGACTCTGTCTGCCATGTACCTTAGCCAGTGTCCCCTCACTATGGGCCGCAGTCATCCAGGTTAGAGTGAGATTCAAAACTGCATAAGCATGAGCTCTGCATAAAGGAGTCCCCAGGCTTCATCCTGGTGGCTATGGAGAGGAATGCATCTCATATTCCTCAACTAGGCCTCTCCTCAAACAGGGACTGGCTAAATGCTCTCTGGACTGCCAAATGCTCACCCTCTCCCCTGTGCCATCTCCATGGCTGTGCATGGTCCCATCAGCACAGTCTTTTCCAGAGCCCCCGAGAAAGCCTGGTGCAGCCAGGACCCCAACTGTGAGGACACCACTGTCTGTGTTTCTGGGCAGAGAGTGGGCCTTTCAGAACCGTCCACGTCTCCCCCAAAGGCTCCCCACAACTCACACCTCCTGGTGGACACATCCTTCTGTGGTGTGAATGGTGCCCTTCCCTTAAGAGTGGACTCCAGCCAGGATCAGTTTGGCTCAATGGATAGAGTGTCAGCTTGGGGACTGAAAGGTCCCGGGTTCGATTCTGGTCAAGGGCATGTACCTTGGTTGCGGGCATATCCCCAGTAGGGGGTGTGCAAGAGGCAGCTGATCTATGACTCTCTCCCATCGATGTTTCTAACTCTCTATCTCTCTCCCTTCCTTTCTATACAAAATCAATAAAATATATTTTTTTAATAAAAAAATAAAAAAATCAATAATAAAAAGAGTAGACTCCATTTGTGACTCCCTAGGAGATAGCAAAGTGATCCAAGGTCACTTCCAAGATTTGATTATAAAACATCAGTGCCTAACCACCTGCTCACTCTGATCTGGGTTCTCTCTGTCTCTCTCTGTGTCTCTGTCTCTGTCTCTCTCTCTCTCTCTCTCTCTCTCTCTCAGGTCCCTCATTCTGGGGACTCAGCCACTGAGCTGTGAGCTGCTGTCTGAAGAGACTCACATGGCCTTGCACCAAGGGGAAGTCAGGCCTTCGATCCAAGCTGAATCCTGCCAAGACTCTCCGAATGAGCTCAGATCCGGAGTGAAACAGATCCCGCCTCAGTTGAGACCGCAGCCCCAACCTGCTGAGAATCGCTGGCAGAAGTACTCAGCTGAGCCATGCGGGATTCTCTATCCAAGAAATTGTGAGATAATAAGTGTTGCCTGATTGTCGCTGAGTGATGGGTAACGTTGTCACATGGCAATAGATCGCTAATACAGTTGCCCCCGCACCAGGTCCTGGACCGGTCCTCCTCCCTCTCTCCCCTGTCTCCTCCCAGACTCCCTCTGGCCACACCGACCTCCTTTCTAAGCTCCTCTTTGTCCAGAGACCTTCTGCCTTCAAGTGTCTGCGCAGTTATGCCTTCTGTCGGGAGAAATATACCTGAGTATTAGGGAGCCGAGGAAGGAGTCATCCATGTGGACAAATGACTCATCCACAGAGTGCCTGCAGGTGGGACAGAAGGATATTTTGGAGGCAGTTGCTAATTTCTCCCTGAAGAATGTGGCCTGGCTGAGGGGTTAGCAGGAGACTGTGAGCAGGAGGCAGGGAGTGACCGGCTGGATGAGGGGATCCTCAAAGAGGGGAGCTACTGAAGCAGCAGGGACATGTCCCGAGGGGGCCCTGGATGGACAGGTGAGTGCCTACAGGCCTCCTGGCACCATGGAGAGGCCCCATCTATGGGAGAACTAGAGCTTGCTATAACTAGCCCCTGCGTCTTGCTTCTTTCTAAATGCTCGGCCTCTGCCACCTTGCCTGGCCTGAAAGAGCCTGCGGGGAACGGCACGCCTCTTTCCACAGCTAGCGGAGTCACTGTCACTGATGACTCAGCATGAGCTCTCCTCTCCTCCCTCGTGCTCTCTCCTCCCCACTCCTCTTCAGTCCTGTCTTCTCACTTGCTGCCCAGACACTCTGGACTCCAGAATTAGCTTTACTCCTCACGCCTGGAACACCCATCACTCTGCTTTCCCCAGACACCCAGCTCCCAGCATTTAGCAAACCATTGCGAGGGTCAGCTCAGCAGACAGGGTGGCTCTCACCTCCACAGGGACATCCACATGGACTAACACACACACACACACACACACACACACACACACACACACACTATTGGGACAGGATACAGCCCAGAAGCCCAGGACACAGGACAAGGGATCCAGTCCTCTGGGCACTGCTCAGTGTCCTGTGAACAGTGACCAGTGCCCCCAAATCCCTCCACCCAATGCTATTTTAGTGGTGCCATCTCCCCTATGTCCCTGGGGTCATGCTGAGCAGAAGGGCAGAGGCTGGAGGCACCTTGTTCACACCGTCCTCGGCTCCTGCTCCCTGCAGTTCCTGGATCCCCAGATGCTGATCTCGGCTTGGAAAGGAAAAGCATGGCTGGGCCAGCAGAATGTTCTGCACTGCTGACCCCTGGACCTGCCACGCTGGCTGCGCTAGGGAGCAGGGGCAGAAGTGGACAGAGGCCCTGCTGAGAGAGGTGGTCAGTTGTGCTGGAAGCCAAAGGGAGGGCACCCTCCTGGCATATCCCTGGGTAATCCCCCATGGAGAATCCACAATTACATTCACCAAGAAGGGACAGATCTGACAGCATAAGCAGCCAAAGAAAAGCAGGAAACAGGCTATATCTGGGCAAAAGACACTTTATTGTTTCTTGGGGTTTCTGGAGACCTCAGGCTGGGCTGGGCTCACTTTCCTCCCCCAGAACAGGGCGGGGCTCCGTGGCTATGATTGTGGTAGTCCGTGGCAATTTCCCCCAACACCGACAGGAACTCAGAAAACTCGATTTTCTTATCCTTATTCTTGTCCTTGTCCTCAAAGATATGATCCAAGAAATCGTTGCCCTTTTTGTCCTGTGGGAAAGACACGAAGCAAGACAAATTCAACCCCAAAAGTGTTATGGGTGGAAGAGGAGGAGGAGGAGACAGAGAGGGGGAGAGAAGACCTGGGGCCGCACAGGTGTAGCTGCTGTGGGCCAGTGGAGGGTGTCTGGGGATGAGGAGGACATTAGCATTACCCTGCAGGTCACTGAGGGAGATTCCTTGGCCCAAGTGTCAACGTGAATGAGAGACCTAGTGCTGGTGAGGCTCTGATCAATGAGCTGGTGGGTGGGTGGTATTTAGATCCAGACCCATTCCCCTCACCCGCTTCCAGGACCCCATCTACCTAAGTTTAATCCAGAAATTCAAAATAAGCCCTATCCCTTGATTCTTCATTCCTAACCCTTCTCTCCATCTTCTACTGTATCTGCCTTCCCGAATCTTCCATGCGCAGTGCCCTCTTTTGCCCACCCACTCTCTGTGTCATCCAAGTAGCCTCTCTTTTTGTAATCAGTTCAGTATATTCTGAATGTCAGACTAAATCAAGTCTATGAATGAGCTTTTTATTGTAATGAAAAGTGTTACATTTTATCAGCCATGGAATTTCTATCGCCTTCCCTTGGATCTCAGAGAACTAATGGAAACTTCTAGAGGCAGAGCCTGAGCCTATGGGCTTCAGTCTCCTGGATGGGCAGGGACCAGTGGGAGGGGACCCATTCTTCACTCTCCTATTTGACCACCTAATAACCACCCTTCATCTCCAGATGCCTTTACTCTGGGCCACCTGTATCATCTCCTTCATCCCGATAATAAATCAGGTGAGTCCTCTTAGGCCTTTTTGCAGATGAGAATATGGAGGATGAGAGAATGAGATTGACTTGTCTAAGGTTCCACAGCAAAGTGTCCTCTGCCATGCCCAGGACCTTGAGAAGTCACCCAGACTTACACAGGCCTTGAGGAATACAGGGAAATTCTCCGTCAGCATCTTCAGCAGGCCCCGCTTGTCAATCTTGTCATCAGGTTTGGTGTATTTGTGGAACAGGGAGATCAAGTCCATCACGGACTTCTCAACTTGATTTTGGCTCATCTTGGTTTTCAAGGAAGCTGCCAGAGAGAAAGACAGGGACCTTTGTTATCCTTCTCCACAGGTCAGGGTCCCTAAGTCAGGACAATTGGGTGGAAACTAAGCATCTAGAGAAGTGAGGCTCAGGTGGAGCAGAAGGAACTGTATCACCTAGGAGGTGGGATGAGAAGCTCACAAGGAGGGGAGTGTGACCGAGGCTGGGGCCCAGGCCCATGCAGGTCAGGGCCCAGAGGAGATGGAGGAGAACACAGAAGCCAACTGTGGACAGAACCACAGGAGGCAGAAGCAGAGAGGATAGGGGTCAACCACACGGAAAAGGACTGAAGTCTTAATTGGGACCTGAACCAATGAAGGATGACTCCACTCTTCAAAGAACATCAAATCCTTCTCTGCCAGTGTCAACATCAGGGTTGGAGTCACTGAGACAAAATAACTTCCTGACTAGTCTGGTCTGACCAGCCCTGGGCTGCTCTTAGAACAAGATCCCAGAGGAGCCCATCCTGAACATAAAGCAAGCGATAAGTGAAATGGGCCCTGGAGGCTCCCAGCGGTGAGTGTAAGTATGAAGGTCAGTGTGAGCAGAGATATACAGCCCTGTCCTGAGCTCCAGCAGAGGTTTTCCTGGACCATCCCCACCAGTGGGTAAAGGGGACTGCAGAACAGATTTGGCATCATATTTTAAATAAATGGAAATATCTGCCTTCATTTTTAGACTTGTGGGTGGAATCATACTTAACTAAAGAGGTCTAACCTCCCAAAGCTGGTACCTCCACCAACAGTCTGGACCCCAAGCAGAGAAATGGGACAGTGCGGCCCTCACACCCCAGACTTTCCAAAGCACCCAAGAAATGTGCATGGATCACACATGTGGGCATCTAACAAAAACTACCACTGTCTCCTGATCTGCAAGAAATAACCTACTGCTAGGTCCCTAAGTGGAACCATCTAAAGCCTTCTGTCAACTTGGCCAAGGCCAGAGCTGAGCCCTGTGCACAGAAGGTCGCTGGTCATTCCCCCAACTGGGGAGAAGGTCCAAAACCTTAGTTGATGGTTCCCTGATTCATGTAGTGGCAGGTCTTACCAGGGCAAGGTGAGTGGGCATTGCTGGCCTGGGTTTAGGAGAAACTTCAAGACTTTGGAAGAGACCCCCACTGTCCCCAGAGGTTGGGATGCACAGTGGGTCTTCACCAAACCGGGACCTGACAGTCAGGTGAGTCCAGAGAGCAAAGAAATCAAGGAAGAGAGGGAAGGTGGTGTCCTCATCTCCCACCAGGGATATTTCCAAAGAGTTGCACAGAGGAGCCAACAGAGCAATGGGAGCATCGGTGCGGTCATCTTATAGATGAGGTCACACAGCCCCATGATAGGCAGAGCCCCATTACATTTGGACCCAGGCTCCTGAATCCTCTCCCATCACTGCTTCCCCTACTCCCACAGACAGCAGAACACACTGGGCCCTGAGCTCCCCCTCTTACTCCCGGCAAAGAGTCAGGTGCATACTTACCGGAGCTGATGAGGAATCACTGAGGAGAAGGATGAGTGTGCTGTGCATTTGAGCAAAGACTGGGTCCCTTTATAATGCTCCGTCTGGCTCATCCCATGATCTGGGAGCCCTGGAGTCATGTTTTCTGTCTACTTCCTGGACTATTGGCCCACTCAGGTGAGTGGGGCACACCTAGGAGTATGTGTTCAGCATGTCCCAGTAACATTCCAGGCAACTCCCAAAGGACAACACCTCGAGCTTTCTTCTGTCCTTCGCTTAACCTGGGGATGGGTTGGGAAACACAGTGGGATGCTGTCATAATAGGACAGACATTTTGGTAGAGAAAACTGGATTTCTGAACATAAAAGATAGGACTCTGAAAGGCAGCATGGTCTGTGTTTGCTCATCACACAGTCCTTTGACATCTAACAAAAACTCTCTCCAGTGGTTAATAAGTCCTTACCTGTGCCAGGCATCACCTTACCCGCTGTATTGATTGATATTCCTCTTAAATCTTCATAACCTTATGAGATGGTGCTATTACCCTCATGTTGAGGACAGGGAATTGAGGGAGTAAGAGGTAAGCCAAGTTCCTATGTGCACGAGGCTAATAGACAACAAAGTCAAGATATGGTCCCAGAAAAGCCTGATTCCAAACCTCTCTCCTAACCCCACTTCTAGACCTCTGGGGTCGCTGCAGGGCCTGTGAACTCAAAGTCCAGAGAGGAAAACAGGGTCACCTCACTCCCATCTCCAAGGGCGGTCCCCACTGGAGCGCTGGGAGGGAAAGAGGTGGCATGATCCACAGTGACAGACCAGGTAGGACAGAGAGCATAGCACCTCACCTGCAGGTGAGGGAAGACTGGAGGTCAGAGCTCTGAGTTCTGGTGTTAGCCCCAACTTCACTCTGTAGCTCTAGGGGCTGCCTGAGCCCACTTAGAAGGAAGCCACTGTCTTGACTCAGGAATGGTGACCACCATGACATGAGCCAGCAGGAGGTTGAGAAAAGTTGCCTCCCGTCTCATGATGATGCTTTCCTATAAATTCTTCAGTGATGTTCCTCTTTCCCTTAGGCAAGACAGTCTGCTTAGGAGTCAGTGGCCATGCCCTAGGGTCTGCTGTGTCCCAACCTGCTGTGGAAAATCTAGTCCAGGTGCGGGAAAACAGGAGCTTGGAGTTCAGGATGAAGCCTGGGGACCTCTGGGGAACGGCCCTGCTGACTCACTGAGAACGTCTTGTTCCTGCTCTCTGCTCCCCTTAGAACATCCTCCCCACAGTGAGGAGACTGCTCAGGCATTGGGCACCCTGGGACCAGGCCCACCACTAAGCCTAGGTCAGGCCTTCCCAACCCATTGGGTCTCCAAGCTGCAGCCTGGTCTTTCTGTTCCCAGTTATGTCTACATCTGCACCAGCACCAGGCCTCTCTGGTTCACTGGCTTAATTGTATAGTATTCTTTTGCGTGGATGTGACATAATCTTCTATAATTCTGCTTCAGATACCACATGCTCTTTATTTTCTTGTCTTCTTTTGGATGGTTTCCAGCTCAGGTGACTAGGGATTTTGACCTCTGACCTTATGTTCCCCTGGGGATCAGCCACCCTGTCTGGTGAGGATGTGGAAAGGGCCCAGGGCAGGCCCTGGTTGTGTAAGTCCTGGGTTTTTAATGAATGAAAGGGGGATGAGCCCAGGTCCCAGGGACCAACTTCAAAACAACTCTGTTTGCTGTGAGCGACATTAGTGTTTTCAACTCTGTGACTAACAGCCAAGTCCCACCCCAGCATCTTCCTTATCACTCCCACCATTGAAAGACTGTAAAACTCTTCCAATCCCCGAGCCAATAGTCCTTTGGCAACATGGTCTACACATCCAAGTCACCACTTGGAACCATCTCGCAAGCATTTACTGTTCATCCTGAGCCTCTCTCTCATTCCTCCCAATGGACTCTGGACCCCAGCTGTCCTTGGCTGTTTGGACCTGAGACCTGGACCATTTGTTCACGGTACAAAGTTTAAGGAGAACCCACTGAGCACCACTCACTGTGCTTTAGGATGAACATATGGCAAGAAAATTTTATTATGTATATATCTCTTCTCAATGTTCACACTTTATTTATTTTTTAAAAATATATATTTTTTAAAATATATATTTTATTGATTTTTATAGAGAGGAAGAAAGAGGGATAGAGAGTTAGAAACATGGATGAGAGAGAATCATCAATCAGCTGCCTCTTGCACACCCCTTACTGGGGATGTGCCCAAAACCAACGTATCTGCCCTTGACCGGAATCGAACCTGGGACCTTTCAGTCTCCAGACCGACGCTCTATCCACTGAGCCAAACCAGTTTCAGCAATGTTCACACTTTAGAAGTGAAGACAAAAAGAATAAAATAGAAACTGTGGATACTGGAGATATACTCTGTATAACTTAAAAAGAGAGGTGGAGAGGTGAACTGACATATCTTAGATATGGCATTTGAATGAATGTCAACACCTAGTGTTCAAGCAAGCAAACCAGGGAAAGAGATTCCAGATCATGACATGTGAGCAAAACTACAGCACAGAACAGACCTGACATCAGGAGGACAAAAGACAAGTCTAGAGCCAAGGGTGTTGGAAGTGAGAAGTTTGGGACAGGCACCAACTATGTCCAACCCAGTACCAACCCCTTTTCTGAATGAACAGAGCCCAGTTTTGCTTGGGGTTGGAGTGCCCAGTACTTCTATGTGTGTCTGGTCTCATCTAAGCCATTCGGAGAGTCCTGTCCCTGCTTTCCCTGTGCCCCTTGCAACTAAGAGTGAGCATGTAGCCCACCTGTTCTTCCCAATGAAACTGAGTGATACTGGGCCAGGCTTTTGGGGCTCTGCTTTTCTGGGTGGCTGGTCCTGGGCACAGGCAGTCATCAAAAAAAAAAAAAAAATGTTCCTTCCCTTAATGTCACTGTCAAGCCCCACGTATCACGTGAGCCTCCTCTAATTCCTAGCCATAAAAAATAGCATTCACCTGACCTGTGTCTTTATTTTCTTCATGGAAGTTTCTGTTTTTGTTTGTTCTTTTGTCCCATCAGAAGGGACAGAATGCCTTCCTCAGCCTGGGTATGGCAGTGTCATTTCTCTCTTTAACCTCAGAGCTGAGGAGGAGGCCAACCACAAGAGGAGTTGCTGGGACAGTCGCTTTATGAGAAGAACTTCGAGTCTCACTGCTTCAGAGAAAGAGGAATGGACTCCTAATGAGCGGGGTAGATTGAGGGAGTGAGGAGAGAGTGAAGGAAGGCTGGACGAAGGGCAGGAATGTAGCACCAGATAGAGAATGAGAGTTCAGGACCAGAGACAGCGTAACTCCCTGTATTTCTTTCCTGCTGCTTCTGCAACAAATGGGCACAAACCTGATGGCTTAAAACAAAGCAAATGCATAACAGTTCAGAAGGTCATACGTCCCAAAGAGATAAAATCAGGGTGTCAGCAGGGCCATGTTCCTTTTGGCAAACCACGGCTCGTGAGCCACATGTGGCTCTTTGGCCCCTTGAGTGTGGCTCTTCCACAAAATACCAGGGCCTGGGCGAGTCTATTTTGAAAAAGTGGCGTTAGAAGAAGTTTAAGTTTAAAAATTTTTGCTCTCAAAAGAAATTTCAATCGTTGTACTATTGATATTTGGCTCTGTTGACTAATGAGTCTGCTGACCACTGCTCTAGGGTGAGGGGAGGTAGAAAAGGATAAAGGGGAGATAAATGGTGACGGAAGGAAACTGGACTTGGAATGGTGAGCACACAGTACAAACAGAGATGATATATTATAGAATTGTACCCCCAGAAACGTATATAATTTCTTTAACCAATTTCACCCCAATAAATTCAATTTTAAGAAATCATTAAAATGTAAACACTCCCTTATTACCTGCTGACACTTGGTGGTGACTAATTAGCACCCAGCTGAGGGCAAGGCCCTGGGAGAGACACATGAGATGTGAATAGGAGTTGGACAGAGGTCCTGAAGGGAGGGATGGGAGAGGTCCCAGGAGACACTGCGTCCTCCTCAGCTCCCCCGTCGGAAGGACTCCAGAGAAACCACTAGCAGACTCAGGCATTTCTTAAAACCCCTCCTTGCCCTGGGAACCAGGAGCCTCACCCTCCACATCCCTGTTCTCAGCCCAGGAGCTTGGCTACACCTGCCATACCATAGGCACAGCCCTGCCAGGGAAGGGTTCCTGCAAATAGTTAGCACTTGGATATTGGCACCAACCAATGCAGGTGAGTCCGATGATCTTACTGCCTGATTATGCCTTGGCACAACCTGCTGCGGTGAAGCCCAGCCTCAGCCCCTTCTTCCCTCCACCCCGGCCTTGCTCAAGCTTTTCCCCACCCCCAAATTCTGCACGTGCACACGCGCGCGCGCACACACACACACACACAGACCTGTACCCCTGATGTCCCTCCACACCACCCCCATCTCAGAGCCCTGCTGCCCGAAACTTCACCCACCCCCCCACCCCAATCTGCTACCCAGATTGTTTGTCTCCTGCCTTCTCAGCAGAGGCCGTGTCCTCCTCCCTCAGACTATATCTCCCTTGGGGTGAGAGCTCTCCTTTCTCCCTGGGTGGTCCTTGGGAGGAGGTTGTGTACTTCCACAGCTGGTAGTAATTCAGGACAGGGCTCAGTCTTCCCACTCAGAGCAGAGACTCCCTGGGGCCTCTCCTGCTTCTGTCTATCTCTAGACCACATGTGTCAAACACAAGGCCCGCGGGCCAAATCCGTCCCGCCAGGCCTTGCAATGTGGCCCGCACCGCACTGTCATCACTGCACTCCGCTGCGTTTCCATCACAATGACAGTTTATGACTGTTCAGTAAACCATTCGGCCCTCGATTTAGGCTGGATTTTAGATTTTGGCCCCTTCTCTGATTGAGTTCGACACCCCTGCTCTAGACCCTGCTTCCGACCTCTAGGCCCAGAATGCAGAGGAAGGGAGACAGGTGCCCTAGCCTAGTTCCTCAGGGAGGAAGATCAGGGAGGATCCCAGCCAGTCAGCAGAGAAAGGAGATGAACAGGTCAGTTTTCAAGTGTTGCCAAGAGCTGACGCGGTGTGATCCCTCAATTGGCAATTATTGGTAAGCTACTCAGAGCCAGGTCTAATCCAATTAATACCGACTCTTCCAAAACCTCA